AACAAGAAACTACGTATCTTTGCACGCTCCGAAACATACCTTTCCAGTGACATTAAAGAAGTATGCGTTGGTAGGCACATATTATTCCCTGATGACCCCCCTTTAATCTTGTACGGTAATGGTGGAGGAAGTCAGTATGGAGGCTTTCCGGTATCACTACTCTACCGTTATGTCAAGGTCTTCTCCATCAACCCTAGAGTTTAAACAGTGTGCCAACATCCTTTCTAGCTTATATCGCAATCTCCGTGCATTTTGCTGCATTTTTTGCGAATTCCACCGGCAGGCCAACTCAGTCTCTTTTTAAATTTTCCTAAAATCTTGCACCTAGCTCTCCGCTTCTTGTGCTTTTCGAATTTGGTCCAAGTGAATTCGCTGTACTGCCTTCTATTGCATGATTTTTCCGGATATTATATAGGAGATAGCTACTAAATTATTACTTCAATGCTGTGGTCGAGAGGTTCTGGTCACTAAAATCTAGCAGCTCTGATAGACGATTAATCACTTTCAAGCCTGGCCTTTCTTCTCCCGGCACCGAACTCGTCCCCCTTTTGAGTGCAGGGTGGTACATGCCAACTGATCACTCTTTTTTATTTTTGTTTATATGAATGAATCCGTACGAAGGCCACGATCATAATTCGTTTTGATCCCGGATTTATAGCGTTGATAGACCCGAGGCCTTATACTGAATCTCTTCTTGCATCTACCGCAACACCAAGTTAAACTATACGCAGATAAATTATCGTTGCCGCTCCAAAGATTTCAAAAATATGAATTTCAGCAAAATGCCCTTTAAATCAAATTCAATTACAGTAGAATTCCCGAGATGTTGGGAGGTGGATTCGACTATGGAGCGAGCCGGGAGTATCGACATGATATTGCTACAAGCCCCATCTCTCTGCTTGACACGGAATGACCCATCATACTCATTACTTGTACTTCATCTTCTAGTTCCAAGGTAGGGGTGACACAACCTCGCCTGCGGCCTAAGTTACATAGCCGACAATTTTGAGCCTACGCTCTCTCAAAGAGTGACACTGGCTTTTAACGCTTCAAGCACCTGTATTTTACCTTATTAAATGTTACGATCTCCAAAGCCCACTTTACAAGAGAGCGGAACAGTCTCCTAACCTTCTTACAAGTCGGTAGACTTTATCAACCACGCTAATGTCGATTTTCTTGTCGAGACTTTGAGGAGACGAGTGACTAGCATAATAGAGCAGGTCTACAGTATACACAATAGGCTAACGTATCTTTTTTACTGTACTGTAATTTAGTTAGTAAGCCTCGAAGGTTCTGCTTGCAAAGATTACCTGCATGAACAACCCTTGATAATCTCTGATTAGTGACGCCAAAATGGCCCATCTACTTGCAAAGGCTACAATCACGGCTTCTCGGGTTGGGTCGAACTATCTTATAATTGGCGTTGTGGCAATTTAGTTTCTTGAGCATGGCGAAGGCTACTCGAACGCGGGCCTAACATTCTTCAATGTCATTCCTAGCAGTAGTAGTAGAAGTCCTATCATAATCTATCTAAAACTAGTTTGTCGGGCATAAAAGTTTGCGTATCACAATTTCTGGAGGATAGATGCACTTTAGAGATAGTCCTTAAAACATGCTGACAAGCTGACCCCAGTGGCCGAGTGGTCGACCACTGGAACTGGTACAGGGAGGTTCCTAAATTGATTTCCCTGGTGGAGGGTTCAATTACTGCGCGCCGGAGATAGGCCAATACAGTAGACGAGCAACCACGCAGAATTGGCCGCCTTTCCAACCCGCACCTAAGGTGTGTGATAGTTGGGTGGGGTGGAGGCCCTACTGGCCGAAAAGCCCCATAGTGTAATGAGGCATGCAGGTCCTGAAAAGTTCAAACTGATTTACAGTAGTCGCAGTTCACCACGGGTGATATGAAGGACCGCGCGGCATAAATCTCATAAAACATGCTGTAGTAATCCATGCTTCCCTGAAATGATTGCATGGCCTTCTGTTTATATGTATGGGGTACGTAGACCGGAGATTGGATGTTTTTCGGGTGATCTATCAGTCCTATAAAATATACTTTGTGTCCAAGGTAGTCGACCTTCCGAAATCCCATAGAACTCTTGACAAAGCAATTTTTAAATTCAGTAGTCCCACACGTCCAACAACCGTTCCACCTTTGTGCATAACGCGCCCCGCATTTCGTCGGGGATCAGAATGTCATCTATATATAAATACCAAACTAGGGTTGAGGAAATCGACTGTTCATCTGGCTTTTTCACCTACAACGAATTCTCAGACCCATCTATCTCCGCTTCTATAGGAATTCATAAAAGCCCTATATAGCGTAATCCAGAAGTCGTAGATGTAATTGGGGGATTTTTTCCAAGCCCTGACGGTATTCGCATTAATTCAAACAAATTGAGTGGGGTAATGAACGCCCAAATTCGTCTCGTTCTTTCAGTCATACCTACTATTAAAAATACTCGCTAAATAGGATATGCAAAACCATATTTTCTTGTCCAAATTTTATCAGTAATTCATTTAACAGAGCCATGAGGTGGACCATTAGTTGAGACAAGATGTTCACCATTTTGTAGTCGATGCATTGCCTGATTCCAACCAATTATTTTACAATGAATACAATTGGGCTGGATTAGGGTGACGTCCAAAAATTAGTACATTTGCCGATAACAGCTCCTTAAAAGATCAGCAAACTTCTTCTTAAAATTGAGATCCTCTTTTCGTACTCGTTGCGCTATCAGCCTTGCATATTCTACATTAAAGTCGCACATATCCCCTTATCGTGCTGGCGGTTAGGCATTCTCTTTTCCCTTCAACAAATTTCGTCCCTCCTAAATGAGTCGTCGTAGCCGTTCCACCTGTTCTGTCGTATTCCATCCGAATAGGGATCTAAAATCCTTAAATCCAATAAATGAAGGAGGGGTCCAATCCTAGGATATTTGCCCACCCTCGAGTTAGTTCTCCGGACTACAGGTCTCCGCTTTCGAACGTACACACTTCACTGTCCTCTTATGGCTTTTCGTTGGCCTCGGCTTCCATTTCTTCAACTGTGGCTGCTATGGGTGGATCTTCTCAAGGTTCAAATCAAACTTGAGGGCTCTTTTCCGTATGTGACCTTTCTCCTCTCTCTGGTGGCGGCTGGTATGACACGTACATCATTGAGACTGTGGTCTTAGACCGCTGAATAATACACGATGGGATCTTTTACTGCGGGGTCTCTACCATTAATAATTCTCTTATCTCCTCGGGGTCAACTTAAGGGTCAAACATGTCGGTGTTCGCTTCTTACGCCAAGTTTAGCCACTCAGCGTACCTTTGACAGCTTACCGAGAACAGACCTTGTGCTCTTGGTGCTTGATCCTTCGTAGGCCACATAACTTTCTTGGCGTCATCATGTGATATCAAGTTTGGGCAATAATGCTGGTTACCGTCAGCAATTGTCGCCTTCCTATTCCACGGGATATGGTTGTCACTCATTGTCATCCTTTGGTGACCCATATCCTCCATAGATCTGAGATCGACCTTTATAAGGGGTACCTCCACACATCCACCGGCCAGTATACGGGCATATTGTCCCAACTTCCTGACCGCGACTTAATTCTCGTAAACGGTCCATCATTGAAAGGGCTGCATCTAGACTTCGTCAGCGAGATAAAGTGCTACATCCGCCGAACCTAGCCGAATACCAGCCGGGACCATGAAGATCATTCCTAGGATTACATCCTGACCGACCAGAGGACCTACCTACACCTTAAACACATACACTAAATTGTCATCCAGGGTGACCTTAATGCGAGTACGCCCTTCAATTAAATTTTCCGATATTCTTATGCCAATGCATTTTTGTCGTTTGCTCTCGTCAATATGGCAGCCTATATAACGCGCAAAGGCGACATTCACAAAGGATATCTTGGCGCCAGAACCGAACAACAAATTTGCGGGACTGTTGTTGATCTTCCCAATGGCTTTGTCTTGTTTGAATACTGAGTTGGTGCATCGTATTTTCATTATCCTCGAGGTTCTCCAGGCAATAGGTCTAACTCCATCACTGCTTTTCTCCGGGCAAAATTATTAGATTTATTGAGAGAGACAACATGGACCACTGAATATTATTCAATCTTCGACATATGATCCGTCTTTTTACTGGACAATTTCTTTTTCTTCTCGGGCTGCTCTTTCACACATGCAACGATACAAAAGTTAAAGCGCTCGAATTGCAGTAGACTTAAAGCTCGCAAGATTATTAATAATTCATCTATTTCGGTTTCTCGGGCAGCATTCCGGCGTGCTTGGTGGGGTCGTACCATTGTTAGATTCCATCTATAGAAGTTCTTCAGATGGCACTTCCCCGCTTCACGAGTATCTTCGCACCCCGACACATGAACAAGCAGGATCTCGATGCATTATGTGTCTTTTGCAGTGGTCACAAGTCATTCTATTTCAGCGTCTCAGATATCCGTGTCCTCTGGAAGCACAATGGGACCATTGTACACTTGACTCAGTCGACGTATTGCAGTTCTTGGGTCTTCTACTTGTTTGAGATGTTGGTCGAACTTTTTAGGGGGACGATCCCTTGCGGTTCTTATAGTTGAGTGTCTTTCCGCTTCCATTAGAAAGATCGGTCTCAGGTCTCCCTCGTTATCCAGATTACACCGGCTAGATCCCTCCAAACAAGAATCTTCCAGATTTTTCGGACCAAATGCACACAGCAGCGGTTTACATATCGAGGTCAATCCGAAGGTACAGATACCTTCTGCCGAAACTTGGTGGAACCAAACAGCTTCTTGTCTCATCGTGCCTTTGTCTTCCGGTGTATCTTCAAAAGTTCTTTAGTTCTTTCACGTCTGCCAGGCATAGTATCGTCAAATAGTCTACCAACTCTGATTCGTCTACGGTCTCGATGAAATGCACGACGCATTCCCTCTGGATCTTAATAATCCATAATTGATGTTTTGTAAGAGGGCTAGAACAACCCAAGTCAAGATGCGGAGCCAAGGAAGATGTCGCAAGAACGGAAGATAAAGAAGACACGAGGATGGCTAGAGAGTGTTCAGGACGATGGATTATCGCCAGGAGTCCGTGGACCATTTGACCGCCGACAAGTCGAGTGGGTCAATGCGAGAGCGGCGGGCATCGTGATACACTGGCGCAAAGCTCAAAGCGGCACAAGGATAACGCGTGCGTACAAGCAGCTAGGACATGCATAGTTGGCAAGATGTTCATGATAAACAGCTAACAAGAGCACAAGCAGCGGAATTACCAAGTCGCACACTCTCACCGGCGAGGGGGAGTTTTGGAAAGTAATAGTTCGTATCTAGCCGGGTACTAGTTGTACGACAGTGTAGTCTGCTTGTAACGGGGCTAGAACAACCCGTACTTCGCTTACACTATTTCTAACGCTTTGAGGAAGCCTCAAAGCCCAAGTCTTAAGTGTTTAGTATTTTTAACTCTGTCTTTACATTTTGGCTTTTTAATCATCCTAAGCACGAATGGTTCCCTTGGACTCATGGAACCACTCAATCTACGTGCCTGTAACTTACCGCCTAATAACGGGACTGAGCCCATTAAACCAGCTAGAATATACGACGTGCTACTTTCGCTACCTCAAAAGTAGCAGCCCTACTCAAGCAACATGTAAACTTAATCGAAACTACATATATGACGGGGTGGCCCATTACATCACCCACTTCTCAAGACAGCACTCACGAACCGTGAATGCTCAACCACAAGCCCCAACGGACGCATAAGACAAACGATGACTGAAGACGCAAACGCCAACACTACAGCACTCCCGCGCACTGTTAGAGGGAGTTCGATGGACCACGTGATGGATCAGCACCTGATCCCTTGGGCGCTGTGCGACTTGTCAGGAGCTCGAGCTTGGCATTTTCTTAAAACAATGCAGGACTACTCCCGGCGTTTCCGTGGATAACGCGTGAAGAGTCTCGATGGCATCTCGAACAAGTCGCTCCGGCGTTCTTGGTGCGCGTTCTTCCGGCGGTGGAACTGGATGCTTGAAGACGGAAGGAAGTATCAGAAGTGGCTTGCCAATCGCGAAGATATCCACTCCGATCACTTAATCGGTGTGCTGCTAGAGAAGGTATACGAGAACGCGTGGAATGTAGACCGACTCTGCTACGTTCACGTGCACGAATCTTGTTACTCCTGTGACTCGATGCCTCGTCCAACCCGCGAGACTTGGCAACGACACGTCGCTGAGTATCCACTCAGCGAATATGAACAGCTCTGGATCCGACGGTATGAGCGCAGCTTGATAGAGCGTAAGATCGCGGCTCACCGTGGTGCGTCAAGCTGGCGACACCAGTCGCGTTCTCGGGGACGTGGTGCCACACGCTCGCCACGACGTTCTCGTTTGCGTGGTCGTGGTGATGCCATTGACCACGACGTTCTCTTCGTCACTCTTCATCTCGTCGTCGTGGTGACGTTTCACCACGGAGTTCTCGCAATCGCTCTTGGTCTCGTAGTCGTGGTGACGCTTCACCACGACACAGTTGTCGTTCGTCTCGTTCTCGCTCACCGCGAGAACACTCAGGTCGTCGAAAAAATATGGACCAAGCGTATGCACGGACTCGTATGCCCGAACGACGTCTGGAACGTTTCGAAGAAGCGAAGAGCGCGGTTCCCACGCATCCTGCTCGGGTGGAAACCCGATTCAACGTACACGATACTTGCGCGCGGTTGTAACCGCGCGCGCATGAAGTCGTGACAATGTTGTTTCGCGACGAGGGTCCTCGTGACCCAATAAACGTTCCACGATCCAGCGCTTCTGGCCTTCCGCGTCCACAAGCGGTGGTGGGTCCTCACGATGGTAATGCTGGTGTATTGGTTGCTCAGGACGATGCAGATGCGGCGGTGAACAAGGATGTCGATGCACAGTTGGATGATGGAGCTGCCCTTGTTCGAGCTGCGCGGGCTGAGATAACAGCGAGCGAGATTCGACAGTCGAATCGCGAGCTGCTTGAACGGATGCGGAACCTGGAACGCCAAGTGCTTGGGCACGCGCATACTGGGACGCAGCCGCGTTCGATGTCACTGGAGCGTCGAGCAAGGCTAGAGGGAAGGTCGAACTTTGAGCCTTTGTTTCCGAGGACGGACCCAACCCGTGAAGCGTAGCTGAACGATACTCCTTGAGCCGCCCGACGTAAAACGTCGGGTGAAGTCGCAGTGACGAAGAGATGTCTAGAGTATATGCGTCACCGATCACCTTGAGTATCGTGAATGGGCCGATAAAACGTGGGGACAGTTTGCTCGCGCCGAGATTGGTTACAGCTGAATCTCGTAGGCCTTCAGTAGATAACAATACACGATCACCCTTCTTGAAAGTGCATATGTTCTTTCTGCCACGCTTCTCTGCCTTCGCTTTCTGTTTATCCACTTCAGATCGAAGAGGATCGCGTAAAAACGTCGTGATGGCTTGACGTGAGAGTATAAAATCTGACACAGGCATGTCCTCAATTAATCGCGTCGAATCAATCTGCGCGTAGTTGGCTTTAGGTGAGCGCATACCCGAAGAAGGATCAATCAGTGTCTGTGCAGCCCATTGAGCTAGCGGTGACGCCACGTCACGTGGCGTCAAAACAGAAGGCTTCACCTCGGATCGGGTGACAACATTCGTGCTCAGAATACCGTGAGCTGCACTCGATCTTTGTTTATCACTTTCAACCCCCCCCCCGCCAGAGTGGAGCCAGGAAGAGCCGTGACTTGACCCACGGCAAGAAGAGTAGGTACACAAGGATGACGGGCCGAATGTGCAAAAAATGGCGTCAACACCGTTGACGCGTGAACCGCGTTGTTGAGTGCAAACTCCGCGAGTGGTAAAAATGCACTCCAACTCGTAAAGGAAGTTGCGTAACTTGTAAGATCGTCTTTGAGGACCCGATTAACCCGCTCTATTTTCCCAGCGTTTCCGGATGGTCTGCTGTCGACATTTGCAGCTTCGTGCCAAGCAGCTCAAAAATGAAGTCCAAACCGTAGATGTGAAACGAGGATCACGGTCCGAGACAATGTCGTCTGGTAGACCGTGATGGCGAAACACAGTGTCAATAAAGTGCACCGCGGTATCAGTCGAGGTGATCGGTGCATGAACAGGCACCAGAGGCGTCATTTTGCTGATTCTATCCGCAAATACCAAAATACATGTTCGGTCTTGGTCATCGGGTGTAAGCCCGAAGATAAAGTCCATTGAAACTGAGCGCCAAGCCTCAGCTGCAATAGGCAGGGGTCGCAGGGATGCCTGCGACAATGAAGATGGCTTCACTCGTGGACATATTTTGCAGGAGCGAACCCAGTTGCGGACCCACTTGTACATGTGGGGACAGAGGAAGTAACGTGAGACAGACGAGAATGTCTTTTCGCGGCCCAGATGACCGCAAAATTGGGCATCATGGTATTCGTGGATGATACGAGCACGTAGATCCAAGTCATTTGCAATCACCGTTCGATGTGCATCGAATTTATCTATGCTGTATAACAGCAAATCACCATCCATAGTGTATCGTTGAATGTGTTCTCGCTTCGTTCGCGAAAGAGCTCCCAGTTAGCATCACTAGGAGAGCGCAGATAGGTAATTATGTCCACGTAATCTGGATCGTTTGCGTAAGCCGTGACATTTTATCGAAAAGGGATAGCTCGGGTGTGACCCGCATTAGATTTAACAAAACCCACGTCACACATTGATCGTCTTCATCGTCATCGTCAGTTGCCTGACGACTCAGTGCTATACGAGGATCGTAATTTGAACGTCGTGATCGTGCGTCAGCAAGAATGCTAGTCTTGCCTGGCTTGTAGTGCACGACAAAGTTGTACTCGGTGAAAAAGAGCCTCCGCGCCATCCGCTGTGACAGGTGTGGGCTCTTTATCGCTGTACGCAGCGATGCATGATCAGTAGACAGGGCGAATGTGCGTGCGCCCAGTAGGTGGACATGAAACTTGATGAGTGCGTCTCGCATAGCTAATAGCTCCTTATCGTGGCCTGGATAGTTCTTCTCCGCCAGCTTCATCTCTCGTGATTGATAACTCACGACCCTTTCACGGCCCTCATGATCAAACTGCATGAGATCGCACCCTATTGCAAAGTCACTTGCATCACACACCACGTGAAATGGCTTGGTATCGTCACGGAGTACCATTACTGGCGCTGACGCCAAGCCTTTCTTCACTGCTTCAAAGGCCGCTTGATGCTCGAGGCGCCACGACCACGTGGCGTCTTTCTATAGAAGTGACGACAGAGGCTGTTTAGAACCGGCGTAATTTTTTTGTACTTAGGCAAGCAATTAGCTAGACCGAGCCATTGACGCATTTTCGTAGGATTCTCGGGTGTGGGCCAAGAACAGTTAGACGACTCCTTCTTTAGATCGGCTCGAGCTCCCGAATTGCTCACGTAGCAACCCAGCATCGGGATCTCCGGTGCATAGAATACACACTTCTTCAAGTTTGCGTATTACTTGTTATCCCGCACGACTTAAAACACCTACTTCAGGTGTTGAAGGTGAATTTGTACGGCGCTGAGATTACCCTCAGCGCGACTGAGATAAAAAAAATTATCGAAGTAGCTAGGAGCAAAGTCTCGAAGCTTCTCTCAACACTTGAGAGACCATGCGATTGAAAGTGGCTGGTGCGTTCTTCAATCCTTGTGGCATCACCAGCCACTCCCATAGCATACCACTCGGGTTACTCACCGCAGTGAGTTGTACGTCACTCTGTCGCATCAAGATCTGGATAAAGACATCAGTCAAATCGATGGCGCTCAAGATAACGCTTCCTGACATGGAGTTGAGAACCATGTCTTTTCTGGGGATAGGCGTTTGGGCAGGAATAGTGGCATCATTTAGCTTATTAAATGCATGCACTATACGCCAGCCTCCCGTATTATTCTTCACGCAGAAGGTTGAACTCGAATGGGGTGAGACACTCTCACGCACATGACCGGCCTTGCGACGACCTTCAAAGAATGCATAAATAGCCTCGACTTGGTCTCGAGGCAACGGCCACTGCCGTGTCACACAATATTTTGATCCTAACACGAGATCAACCTCGTGCCGAAAACCACGATCAGCAAGAAGTTCAGCCTGAATCTTCTCCGGTTATGCATCTGCGTACTCTCGAGCAATGTCGTATACAGGGTTACCAGACTCGTGCAGATCCTCCCAAGATTGCGACGCAAATCTTTCTTCGCGCGCTTACTTTTGTTTAGCGCTTCGAGGACGCGTCATTCGCTCCTCATTCGGCTCAGATGTCACCTCGTTGGTGACCAGTCACACTTGTTTTACCGTGCCTTCCTTAAGTCCGCGTAGAAAATGCTTCCAGGAGAGTCCTAGAATGCTCGTAGTCGACGACGCGTCGCGAGGTGGGCTCACGACCTCAATGTATTGGCGCCTTTGTGGACTCCCGTCCACGTGCACAATGGCGTGGACACATTTCAACGCTGCGTTCCCGTAGCTTGCGCCCCCATCGTGCTTCGAGTCCATGCTCAAAGCTGGAGAACCGCAGTCAAATGTTAAATCTACACCTTCTTTTAGAAGCTGGATGTCCTGATCCAGGACGTCGATCTCGCGCGACGAGAGTAGCCCATACTCGTCTGTCGACGCATGATGCGGGAGCCCCTGCTCGACCGCCACAAACTCGTGTGGAAGCCTCTGCTCGACCACGTCTTGCTCATGTAGGACCCTCCGTTCGACCACAGTGGGTGATGATGGGAACCCCTGTTCGACCATCATGTTCGCACGTGGGGATTCCTGTCCATTCACGTCACACTCGGTGGCTAGCCCCTGCTCGGCCACACCTTGCCCTTGTGGGGGCCTCTGTTCGACCACAATGGTTGCATGTGGGAACACCTGTTCGACCTCTGCTCTTTCGGGAACCTCTGTTTGACCGCTTCGTTTGGGCGCGGGAGCCTCTGTTTGACCGCATCGTCTTCGTGCGGGAGCCTCTGTTTGACCGCATCGTCTTCGTGCGGGATCCACTGCTCGTCCGCGTCGTCATTACGCGGGAACCACTGCTCGTCCACGTCGTACTTCTCGCTGCAAAGCGGGAAGACATCGTCACTCGTGCGTAGGAGCACGGAACAAGCGGTACAGAGAGGACCATCGATCACTCTGTGCACCGCCGGGGTCGTGGATGTACGATCCACTACTGTGACGTTCGGCCAATCACTTGGGGACACCAAGAGATAGGTGAACACTAAGCTGGCGTTGAACATACTTCGACGTCACTGGTCTGGCTAGCCAGTCGATCTGGGACTAATAGCGTGCCAAGTATGGCATGCCCAGGATGCAATCGAATGCATACTTCATCTCAATCACCAAGAAATTGTCATTACTGCGACAGCCGTCAAAGTGTAAGGCCACGACACTTCGCGCCACGATACGCGGCGTGGTTTCCGTCAGCGAGCTTGACAAAAACTTGGCCAGGTTACTCGTGGACTTGGATGCTGGGTGGCAGCATTGACACGCAAGATTCACTAAAAAAATTGTTCGTCGCTTCTGAATCCAGGAGCGCTCGTAGAGGTCGCCTAATACCGGCGACATGCAGATTAACAATAATCAGGCGTGAATCGCCGATCGTAGTAGTAACATTTGACCGTGCACGAAGCACAGATGGGCTGGGAGTTCGGGCTGCCACCGGTGGACCGGACCTCCCTTCAAGCCAGTAGGGTGCCCTGCACCTACTGGTCCCGTTCGTTTTTTTTGACGAGTGAACGGAATACCTCCCTCATGATGGGTGTCCGTCACATGCACCGGCATCGTTGCTGACGCGCGGCATTCATCCGCGCGATGTACCGACATCGACATCGAAAGCAGATCATATGACGTCGGCTACGGACGTCGCCCTTGCAGGAAGTAACACGTCGTCGGTCACCCGACGACTCAATCGCATCAATCTCCATAGGTTCCGGGCCCGCTGATCTGAAGTCAATAACAACTGAAGGCTTGGTATAGGCCTTGTTGACTCTTAATTCCTCACGGAGGGCGATGGCGAAAGCCTCCTCCAACGTGGCAGGCTCCGCGCGTTCCAGCGATAGGCGAGTCTGCCCTTCACGCACGTCATCGACAAACACGTTAACTTGTGTTTACATTTCCGTGGGATGCGCGACTATGCACGAGGCCAGATGTCGAGCTATATGCACGTAATCGCGCATGGACATCTTGCCCTATCTCAGAGACAGGAACCTCGATCGCACCACTTTCTATTCTTGTGGTGGCTCGAAGGCGAGTCGAAGATCACTCTGGATAACTTTCAGAGTGGGGAAGGCATACTATCCACTATGAGTTTACCCAAAGCCCACTCCTTGGCTTTCCCACTGAGACCAGAAAGGTGGAAGTTGACCTTCGCTTAAGGAGCCTCGAGAAGTCTCGAGGCGATAGCGATGTCAACTCTCGGAACCAACGCGACAGCGACAAGAGTGCTTTGCCTTCGCCAGAGCAGACGGAGGTCTCCATCTTCACGGCATCGGTATGTTAAGTTCGCGAGGTATTTAAACCTCGCCGATTTGATTCGGCGAGCTTGCGGGCCATGAAGTCGTGTATGGCGAGACGTTGTCCTTAAGGATTCGCTAATTTTATCAGCGACACAACGAATGCCTCTCCAGATATCACCGCGAGGCAATTTAAGGCAACTTGATCAACACTGGTGAGATGGAGAAAAGTCGCGTGCTCCAGCCGTACGTCTGGAGCGTCAAAGTACGACGAATTGCTCATCCCAAACTCGGGCATGGGAAGGACTACTAAGTGCTACCAGTTGTAACGGGGATAGAACAACCGTACTTCGCTTACACTATTTCTAACGCTTTGAGGGAGCCTTAAAACTTAAGTCTTAAGTGTTTAGTGTTTTAACTCTGTCTTTACGTATTGGCTTTCTAATCATCCTGAGTACGAATGGTTCCCTTGGACTCACGGAACCACTCAATCTACGTGCCTTTACCTTACTGGCTAATAATGGGACTGAGCCCGTTAAACCAGCTAGAATATACGACGTGCTACTTTCGCTACCTCGAAAGCAGCGCCCCTACTTAAGTAACATGTAAACTTAATCGAAACTACTTATGTAACGGGGTGGCCCATTACACTGCTAAAATTTGTTAGATTAGTCAGTATAAAGTGTAGTTCCAGAATGTTCGATGCGTAGGGAAACGTATGGCAGCGGTAGAGGCCGCTGCACTGAGAGGTCTCAGTTTGCGTTCGGTAAGCCACTAAAGAGGCCCGCCGGGGCGGAATAAATTGCGTCTGGCACGCGGTAATTTACAATTCGTTAACTTTACTTAACTCCTACTTTTAACAGGAATATCGGGAGCTGATCTTCTACTTCCGGGTCATCTAAAGTCTCGATTAAGTTCTAGACGTGCTCCTTTTGTACCTTAAGAGGTCCCTCCTTATTCTTGATCTTCGCCCTGAATCCAATTACATTGAGTTGGTACAGGTAGTCCAACGGTGACTCATCAGACCTTTTCTTCGCATGGTAGTAGCGGCAAGCCACTGGCACTCCCAAACCGTCGGACTGCATCTGGGACTCTTGTATGAGATCCCTTCATCTTGACCGAGCCGAGCGATCCAGTTGGCAATACCAGTTCTTAGCTGTTCCAGGTATCAATCCACCGAAGATCATCGTCGGGCGCTTAATCTCTTGTGAACGTGGTTTCACTGTGGTCACCTAACTGCGTGCTTGGTCCTCAATTTGATGTCTTCCGTAAAAATCCTTTAGGTCCGATGCCGCTCCAAGTTTAATGAGAGGGGCCATGTTGGGCAATTGTTCTACTGTAGCTGTCGCCATCCTCGTCAGTGGTCCCTCCAAGTCCATGTTTTCTGGGTCGTACTCGCACGTAACGACTGATTCCATCTCCACGTCCGTCATAGTACGTTGTCTCGAAGATTGCGCTCGGATTCTCGATGATTGTGGATCCTCTGTTTCCTACGCCCTTTGTGCCTCTGCGGTCGCCCGTCTATCTTGGCATCCTCGTTCTAGCTGGCATTCCTGTAGAGATCGCGCTATCGCCGTGGACACGTGTCACCGTTTCGTAATCGTACTAATTTTTCGCTTCTCCCCGTTCACAAGCCTTGGGCATCGCTGCTCCTGCCGGTCCCAGTGGCATCCGGTCGTACTGGTCAAGAGTAGACGAACTGTGTGACGACCGCTCATCCACGTCTCGGATCATTAAGGGAGAGTTGGTGGTGGGGGATGGCGCATCACCATTGGGCTGTCGAGCTGTGGTCGTGCTTAGAGTTGTGCTTTCGAAATCTTAGAGCGTCATATGGCTGTCGCGAGACGGCGTCGGTATTGGTTGCGCTGGTGGTACGTTGTCGTGTCTGGTAGTGGTCCCAACCAGAATTGTTAATCGCTTGTGCATCTTCTCCAACATGCTCTTGATACTGTTGAAATTTACGTCGAACAAAGTGCTTGGCTCGACGCTTCCTGTAGTCATAATTGTCTTGCGGAGGAGGGTTATCAGCGTAGTGAACACCTCGGTGACCGTCCGGAGGCGCGATAGGGGTACCACCGGTCCCCCTAGCTGTCCAAGCAGCTGGATCCCAAAAAAATCCGCGACGGGGTCGCTTGCCGAGATGGTGTACAGCTTGCGTCGGTGGTAGGCGATCATCACAGCATCGTCCGACCGTGCTAACGGCCCTGCTTGGGCTGAGTCCACCGACTTGGTGTTCACTGCCGTCTTCTTCTTCATGTATTTGACTTGGACTTAGCGATCTTGAAGTGTTTGGTGTAGGGGACCATAGCCTCACAGATTGCTGTTAGAATTAACCAGGCTGCGGAGCTAATGAGAAGAAGAAGATGGCTTACGGCCGGGATGAAAACCGAAAAGTGAGTTGTATTCAAATTGTTCCTAGCTTCGAAAACGAATGGCTAGTAGTAGCCGATGGCTCTCAGCCACCTATTTCGTGCCCTGTCTCCACCGCTTTCTGTTTTACCTATCCCTGGGTAATTACGTCTCGTAAATACCTTTCGTAAAAACTCTGCTGTGTCATATGCAGAATGAAAACGATTGCGTGGGTGGGGGACGTAACTGCGGGCGGGTCACAGTTCTGGTGAACCACAAACACCAGGTCGTGAGTGTCAGTCACAATTAACTTGTTCACGGCGGGGATCAAACCCGCACTCACCCGCGTGGAATCCCCCTTCCCAAACGTCTGAGCCAATCCGATGACTTGTCGTTTAGCTAACATCCCACAATATAAACCTGCCAAAGAACAATACAACTAATGCAAATATGCAATATACACCCTTCACAAGTCGCCGCATCATCACTCGCTAACAATTGCGTCGTCGGCCGATGATCCGACTCCGTCGATGGTCTTAAAATGTAGGGACCTATCGAATTGTTGTCATCTGGCACTTTCATTCGGGTTTTCTTTGGCTGGAAAAAATTAGCGACCAGAGGGTTTTGTTGATTCGGGGACCATAAATTTTCGATTCATCGTCAGTTGGTAGTCCACTGTGGCATGATAGGTATCACGACCCAAGACGTCCTCAACGAGAACATAGGGAGGTTGTTTAGGTATTTCTTTATTATTTTTAACCTTTACCATGTTGACCAGACCCCTCCCAAGGTCGATTCGGTCCTTCGACTCTTTGTTTGTGTCTTCTTGTGTCACTGGTGGTCGGTCTTCCAGTGGGTCTTTGGTCTTCGCTTTTATCATGACCTCAACATCTAATTCGTCTTAGGACTCGCGGTGAAATCCCGCTTCTCCTGAAGATCCGAGCACGCGCACCACAGTGGTGGAGTGGTTTCTCGAAATTGTTTGACGAGATCCCAAACCACTCACTGTGCCGGACTGCCGACTGTCGGAGGGGAACCCCGATACCACTTGTGGACCTTGACTCACCTTGTGTACCCGTCGGATTGGCGAATTTCGCTCTTCGCAGGACTTGGTGATGACGTGGACGTCGGCCTTGATGGAGGTCGACCTGGGGGGGGAGCCGAGCAGATATGCTTCAGTCGGGGTCCAGTGTAGGCGGCCACTCGATCGACTTGGTCGAGAGCGGTCTTACAACCAGTTATCTCAGGTGCTGGAGGCGCCTGGCCTTTACTTGTCTCAGGGGATAGCCGCCTGGCCTTTATGTGTCTTCTCGATCACCACTAGGGTATGAGGACCGCTTCCTGTAGCAGTCTTAAGTTGGGAGGGGGGTGCTACTCTACGAACCCACAGGCCAATGTACTTCCTGGGGTTCTACTTGCTCTTGTGTCGTACTGACAATGTCTATTTGACGGGTGGGCCAAACAGATCCACGGCCCGGAACAGGTCGGTAGACTTACAGGTTTTTTTAGCGCACGACACGTCGTGCTACTCAGATCGCGAATTGAGTACCTTTTAATGTCATCATATCCTTTAAACTCCTTTAGTCTATTTTTGCCTTGCACCTGGGTTCGCAATGATGAGTGACTAGGAGCCACCAGACCTTGAGGGACCGAGTCGACCTATTAGTGACCAGTTCGGCCGATGGGTGGCCACGCCGGCCTACGGGGAACCTAGGTCCACCTTGGGCCAACAGGCTGACCGACAAGTGGTTTGAGGACGATCCATATCGGTACCCTTTAACTGGTACCGTTGGTCGATGTGACCCCGTTTGTGGTAACCTTAACCACTCGTCACGGTTAGTCCCAACGGCCACTCTTTCCTGTAACTTCCAAGTCGCTGATCCCTTTCCCGGCCGCGAGGTCTCATGTCTACCCGACTTCTCGTTTCTTAAGTCATCATTTCCAAACGTCGCTCTACCACAATTCTCTTAGTGCGTTAGACGATCAAATGATTGCTGCCAGGCAAAAGTCGATATCAACATCGCGAAGCGATAGGAATGTTAGTCCACGAGCACCTGTTTGTGTCTAGTTGTTTTTTGAAGCCTTTATCAATTCTTTGTTTAGCTAGCAATGCAACCGTTTTCGTATGTGCACTGATTTCGCTAAGTACTATTCGCAAGATTCAATGCTGTTTACGCGTGTTCATGGATTAGAGGTTGTTCAGCCTAATGCATTCCAAAATATTTTTTACGCGACAAGCAAATATTCTACTATGTGGGAGCGCAATCTATCTATACAAAGATTAGAATAATTGCAGGGCTCGTTCGGGACATTGCTCTTCCTTTCTGTATCGTCTTTTATAATATTCACATCGTTCCAGTGGCGACATAACGCGCACAGTTCTGGATTTCGTACCTTATCAAAAATGTGCAGTTTACTCCAGACTTTACGAGGCACGATTCCACGAGCCCCTAAAATGGAGTTGTTAGATATTCTGCGCAAGATGTATACCATTTTTATCAAACCTGCTGTTGGCTTGTCTGCGTGTGTCTGCAAAAAGCTAGGTATAACCTGTACATCGTACGCAATAATGTGTAAATTGTTTCCTTTAACAGGTAGCCATGCATCAAAGGCACAGCGCTGTAACAATATGTAGCTGCAATTGCATAAAGAGTGCTCGTCACATATGGACCAATATCCGTAAATGATCGGCTAAAAAGTAACAAAGAACATGCAACTGGGAAATTATGCAAATGCTCGAAGCTTTCGGGCAGGGAAGTCCCGCACATCTCGCAAACATTAGATGTGGGGTGGTTTTCATGCATTACACTCAATCAGCTGAAAAAGTAAGAATCCATCCTGACCACCCTCCTGTCTTCGTGGTTTTAAAAGCAGTGAAAAAAAATTCTCGTGGTCGTCGAAAATTTATAACTCTTCGATCGCGCTTTGTTCTTAACGGCACTACCGAGCAATTTTTTTACATCATTTTTCGAAACTTCTTTTCTTCGAACATTACGACTAGATAAAGTTGTTGTTTGATATACAGTATGCTCACAAAAACGCTTTATTTATATATACCTTACATAACCCGTCTCCCAGTTATAACCTCTCGAACTGGGTGCCTGATAACCTAGACGTCTTTATTTCTAAAGCCTTAGGCTAAATAATCGGTAATAAAAGGCAAGCATCAGAACTTGCTCCTCTATCTTCACTTAAGCATCGTATTTCATTCAACCTATACACTCTCACGAAGCTTGTGCGCATACTACATTTCACAATCACATGTACTCAGTTGTGTCTTGCTGCTGACAATATTCATACACTTTTAACCAGCTGCATCAGAGCTACGCTATTTAGCCCAACGAATGTAGTTAGTAGGCTAATTTAAATTTTTAAGGAGACTGATCTAGTTATTCATCACTCCGGGCAATTCTCCTCAAACGAATTTTAACGAGTTTTAGGCAAAAGCAGACGTCCTCTTAAGTATAAACCCCACACCTCAGTTTTTAACTATTTTACTCACATTTTAGCGACTCACTTTCTAGTCCCAGATGGCTTGCATTCATATTTAACCACTCACGTTATCCATAAGTTCTGTCGTTCACCTTCGCGTAATTACATGCGGACCACCTTCTTTTATCTTCCACCCACCCATGCACAAACCGTCGTTTTCTATGAGCTAACTGATAGCTCTTCGTGATGACTTGATTTTGTAGAAATTTAAGCGTAAAAACCAGTCGATGCTTGGAATCCAAGTACAGTGGGAGACACGTTCTCCCTCAGCGAGCTATGTAGAGGTGTAGTTGGATACGAGCTCTTGTGTAGCGCGCCAGCTAATTACAGTTGTTGCTGATATTTCGCTACAAGAGAATATGTGACCTGATACTTTATTCCTAACATACCGAGCTGAAACATAACCATCGTAGTCTAGCAATGTCAGCATCACAGTGTAGCGGTACCTCCATTCTAGTGAAGTAATACTGCCATCATCGTCTAGAAATGCGATCATGTAGCGACTCCCCATGACATACACTAAAGGAATGCCTCGAAGCATGTTGGTGTGGTACCGGTCTATACAGAGCAGCTTTTCGCGAGTTGCCTCAGTCTCTGACCGTCTCTTAGTATCTGTACGTAGGACTAAAAACCCTCCAAACGCTGCTGACGAGCTATCAACTTATAGAAAAGCAACTGCTCCAGGGGGGGTTCGAACCCTCGACCTGCGGCTCATAAGACCACCGCTCTAACCAACTGAGCTACAGGAGCGACACGTCCGGCCGCAAAAATATACATATAAACACTTTAAAAGAAAGTACCACCTCCCTCTTAAAGCAACAATGTTAATGCCCCATCTCCAGGACTGATGGGTTCAACACGAGAGAAAGTCTTCTCCTTTTAGTTTTACAGTAGTTCGGGGTTTCTAGTGCACACTATAAGCCCGGTCATGCGATGACACTCTTGTCTACCCTGCTAATTAGTACAATTGCACTGGCTTTCTTAACGAAGATGACTTGTGAAGTGACGCAATGAAATCAACCGGAAATAAATAATTTGGCGCACACGTCAACGGCTATCAGTCGCTTCGGGTCTTCATATAACACCACAAAAATCAAAGCAGATTGAAGGACATGCGACATAGATAGTCACGATCTCATATTTTCTCAGCACTACACCTGCTATCTCGAGGTTGCCAACGGATCACAGACGGATGGGTATGCTGCGTGGTCAAGCAAGCCCGTTCACTTTTCAACTTCATTCCATTGACATACTATGGTGCAATTTCGAGTGGCTTGCACGATGTGGCGAAGTATGTGTAAAATGAGAAAAGAAACACTTGTATCTTCCCTTCTTTAATAATGCGATGTGGAGACGTTAGAATAAGGACGCTAGGGAGATACGACTTTTCAATTCCCATTTCGCCAGATCCCTCTTCGCAAAGATATGTCGGGCTCACCAGTTTTTGGGTTCATTCAACTCTTTGTTGTATGTTGTATACATCTTTTAATATGCTGCCTTACTCTGCGTACATTGAGCCAAAGTAAGCATGCATGCTGATTCACATCTAACACACACGTAGATCCATCTACTTTTTACTTCCAACTCGTCGACAAAGTAATCAGTGCGTGCAAAAACAATATTAGTCCGAGTGATACGACACAGTACCCGTTTTATCGCTAATGAAATTTCTCTTCACCAACACTAAGGATGTATCGCATGGAATGCCCACTTTTTGAAGGAAGATGATAAATCTACGTGTGTGTTAGATGTGAATCAGCATGCATGCTTACTTTGGCTCAATGTACGCAGAGTAAGGCAGCATATTAAAAGATGTATACAACATACAACAAAGAGTTGAATGAACCCAAAAACTGGTGAGCCCGACATATCTTTGCGAAGAGGGATCTGGCGAAATGGGAATTGAAAAGTCGTATCTCCCTAGCGTCCTTATTCTAACGTCTCCACATCGCATTATTAAAGAAGGGAAGATACAAGTGTTTCTTTTCTCATTTTACACATACTTCGCCACATCGTGCAAGCCACTCTCGAAATTGCACCATAGTATGTCAATGGAATGAAGTTGAAAAGTGAACGGGCTTGCTTGACCACGCAGCATACCCATCCGTCTGTGATCCGTTGGCAACCTCGAGATAGCAGGTGTAGTGCTGAGAAAATATGAGATCGTGACTATCTATGTCGCATGTCCTTCAATCTGCTTTGATTTTTGTGGTGTTATATGAAGACCCGAAGCGACTGATAGCCGTTGACGTGTGCGCCAAATTATTTATTTCCGGTTGATTTCATTGCGTCACTTCACAAGTCATCTTCGTTAAGAAAGCCAGTGCAATTGTACTAATTAGCAGGGTAGACAAGAGTGTCATCGCATGACCGGGCTTATAGTGTGCACTAGAAACCCCGAACTACTGTAAAACTAAAAGGAGAAGACTTTCTCTCGTGTTGAACCCATCAGTCCTGGAGATGGGGCATTAACATTGTTGCTTTAAGAGGGAGGTGGTACTTTCTTTTAAAGTGTTTATATGTATATTTTTGCGGCCGGACGTGTCGCTCCTGTAGCTCAGTTGGTTAGAGCGGTGGTCTTATGAGCCGCAGGTCGAGGGTTCGAACCCCCCCTGGAGCAGTTGCTTTTCTATAAGTTGATAGCTCGTCAGCAGCGTTTGGAGGGTTTTTAAGTCCTACGTACAGATACTAAGAGACGGTCAGAGACTGAGGCAACTCGCGAAAAGCTGCTCTGTATAGACCGGTACCACACCAACATGCTTCGAGGCATTCCTTTAGTGTATGTCATGGGGAGTCGCTACATGATCGCATTTCTAGACGATGATGGCAGTATTACTTCACTAGAATGGAGGTACCGCTACACTGTGATGCTGACATTGCTAGACTACGATGGTTATGTTTCAGCTCGGTATGTTAGGAATAAAGTATCAGGTCACATATTCTCTTGTAGCGAAATATCAGCAACAACTGTAATTAGCTGGCGCGCTACACAAGAGCTCGTATCCAACTACACCTCTACATAGCTCGCTGAGGGAGAACGTGTCTCCCACTGTACTTGGATTCCAAGCATCGACTGGTTTTTACGCTTAAATTTCTACAAAATCAAGTCATCACGAAGAGCTATCAGTTAGCTCATAGAAAACGACGGTTTGTGCATGGGTGGGTGGAAGATAAAAGAAGGTGGTCCGCATGTAATTACGCGAAGGTGAACGACAGAACTTATGGATAACGTGAGTGGTTAAATATGAATGCAAGCCATCTGGGACTAGAAAGTGAGTCGCTAAAATGTGAGTAAAATAGTTAAAAACTGAGTTGTGGGATTATTAATTAGGTTTGTGAAACCCCACTTCTTTTTTCTAAATTCGCCCCAGACACCATACCTTTATCACACCAAACTCTGGTTCGTACGACAAACATTGCGCCACTTCCGTAAGTTTAACATTTGCATCTATTGTACAAGTGTTGCATGATATCTGATAGCATTTATCGGTCAGCATGCAATAGATGACTGAAGATCTTTTCCTTCGCAAGGGATCCGACTAAAGACTGCTTCTCTCTTTTCACTACATGTCAAATACATCTGAGGGGCCATTCACATATTTCCAAACTGGCAAGAGCCAGGTTTCAGTCGAGAAAAACAAGAATAAATAAAAAAAGGTTTGCGTGTCAAAAACGTAATTAGATGCATCCGTTGTAGCGAATCTCACCTGTTCAAACAAGAAATTGCGATATACAGCTAAACATAGTTTTGACCGAAGCTATCCTGGCTTTTTGTTAGAGATGGGCCAGTGGCTGTAAAAGAGACATTGATTGGTAAAACACTGAATGCATCTCCGCAGGTTCACTACATCTCTATTTTGAAGTGAATTTGCAGCATTTAGGTCTCCACAGCACTACTATATAACTTCTGTCTTTCGAGAACACTCCGAACTTTGGCTCACCACTCCGAATTCGGAGTGACTCCAAACCTCTCTCGAAAATCTACACATTCTAAGTTGCAGCAAAAAATTTATAGATAATCCTCGCACGCACTTCCCCTGGACGCCTTAACTCTTGATTATGATGAGACCTTGCTAAAATCAACCAAACGCGTTTTCTGAGGGTGGCAAGTGTGGCAAGAATTGGTGCGGCCTTGTCACGGGTGAGAATTCGTTAAAAATGAGTACAGAGGAATGGTGCCGCGGTATTTGTCGTACAAAACATATTGCGTTTCGATATGGGCGTGGCAAATGGGTGTATTTAGTAAAATGTAGGGTGTATGATGAATGTTTCGGGGTGTAGGTCAAAACGTTAAAGAAGAGAAAAAGGTTCGGTCATCGATTTCGAGCTAACATCGATTTGCTTGGTACCCCACTCAAGAATTGTACTATGGATGCAAAATGTTGTGCGATAGTGGTCGTACAGAGTTATGGTGGCACGATGTTTGCCTTTCGATTTATGCTGTGGTGTGGTATTGGTGTGGTGTATCGGATGTACGTGGTCAAATAGGGTGTTTTTACAAAAGGAAATAATAAGTGGGTCTCCTTTGATGTCCGTCGGCTTTCTGTGCTATTCAATACTTCCAGAGAGGTCCGGGAGAAGCATGGAAGCAGGAAATTACGAGTAGCAGCAAAAAATTGTGCAATAATCAGTTAATTGCCCACATTATATCCGGGTCGGATTTTGCAAGAGTGACCAATAGGCGTAACTCATTTTTCGCCTTCGGAGCTAGTCTAAAACGGAGTGGGCCCGCATATTGTGTCGACATGGACACTATCTTCGTATAGCGGCAATAAAGGAACGATCCTCGAGCATACCGAAGGCGCATACATCGAGTTTTCCGTACACTTTGCGCGTGGGGTTCTCTTGGCGTACCTGCCTCAGGTGGCTCATCCGTTTCGAAAGCACTCAAGTTTAATCAAATATGTGGCTGAGAGTCACCGGCTACTACTAGCCAATCGTTTTTGGAGCTAGGAACAAATTAAATACAACTCACTTTTCGGTTTTTATCCCCGGCTGTATGCCGTCTTCTTCCGAGTATCAGCTCCGCAACCTAGTTTAAATCTAACAGGTTATGAGCCCAAACAACAATTCCGGTTTCAAGGTCGAGCCTTTCGACGGCTTGAACAATGGGTTGTGGAGTTACAAGATGAAGATGCACCTGATGTCGAAGGGGCTGTGGGGCGCGATCGCGGGCGATGATACAACAAGTGAGGCCAAGGAACAGCAAGCCCACGCCGCGATCGTGCTTAATTTGAGCGACTCGCAGTTGATGCATTTCATCGACTCGGACACGGCAAGAGAAGCGTGGGGACATTTGGCGCGATTTCATCACAGTCATGACATGGCGAATCGACTTTGGCTGAAGGAAAAATTCGCCTCGTTCAAGTATGCAGCATCAAGCATGAGCGGTCATGTGATGGAGCTGGAGGACCATGTGATGAAGATGAAGCGCGCAAACTGTGGTGAAAGTGAAGAGGACGTGTGCGCGGTACTGTTGCGGAGTCTACCTTCAAGCTCCGAGAGCTTGGTACAGGTATTCCGCACGTCCGTCGTTTACTTCAGTTTTAGTGACCTCGTGAGCAAGCTGTTTGCCGAAGAAGTGCGCCAGAAGGAGGCTGCACAAGTAGAAGATGCAACGGCTCTCTACACAGCCAAGAGGAGGGGCATGCATTACCCAAAGAAGCAGCAAGAACGGCGCGCGAAGGGACCATCAGGGACCTGCTATGACTGTGGCAAAGTTGGACACTACACCAGAGATTGTCGCTTCAATCGACGGCCAAGGGATCAATAGCATGACCAGTCGAACGTCGCGTTCAATGCCAGCGAAGTTTCGCGAGCGACAGCTGGGTCATGGACAGTGGCGCGTCAGCACGCATGTGTAAGGATCGAGATGCGCTAGAAGATTACGAAGAAGTGCATCATGCGCGAAGTATTTCAAGCGCAACGAACGACGTGAAGCTAAATGTCATCGGATATGGGACAGTGAAGCTGCGCGTCCAGACATTCGTGGATCGACACTCGCCTTGAGAACACACTCCACGTTCAAGATTTGTCCAAGAACCTGTTGTTGCTCACGGCTGCGGCAGCGCGCGGCATGACAGTGGAGATTACGCGCAACGAGTGCGTGGTGAAGCGTGGCGGCAAACCCGTCGCAACAGGAAGGAAGCAGGGGTTCCTCCTGTATCTCAATGCTGACTATGGTACGGAGTGCCACATGGCCGAAGACGATACAGAGGTATGGCATAGAAGACTGGGTCACGTGTCGTATGGTACGCTGAATGCCATGGTCAAGGACGGAAGGATCAAGGGCGCAACGGTGAAGTCGAACGTTGCGTGTGACGCATGCGCAACGTCAAAGCGTGTGCGCAAGTCATTTAAGTCAAGCGATGAAGACTCTGACACCAGCGAGAAATCGCGCTCCGATGTGGTGGTGTGCTCCGACATTCTCGGACCTATCACGCCAGCGTCTAAGTCTACTGTCAGTAACATCGTAACCTTCATTAAGATGAAGAGCAGGTATGTAACGGTCTATCCGTTGCGAAAGAAGAGCGACGTTGCGAGTGCGTTCAAGCGGTTTTACCAAGATATCAAGACAGCATCTGGAACGAAGATAAAGGTGTTGCGAAGTGACAACGGCGGCGAATACCGGAACGAAACGATGAACAGCTTTTGCAAGGCAAAGTTCATTAAGCAAGAGTTCACGTTTCCGTACAACCTAAGGCAGAACGGGATGGCGGAGCGGATGAACCGCACGCTGGTGGAGATGACGCGCTGTATGCTCAAGGAAAGCGGCCTCGACAAGTCGTACTGGTGCGAGGCACTGATGACTGCGGCAGACATCCAAAATTCTGCCGAACGCGTCGAACAAGAATTCAAGCCCACACGAGATGGTGTTCAAGAAGGTTCCGCGCATCGATCACATGCGCGTGTTTGGTGCGCAATGCTATGCGCATGTGGCGAAGGAGAAGAGGAAGAAGCTGGACGACTCAGGCGTGCGATGTTTCTTTCTCGGCTATGCGAAGGACCAAAAGACGTATCGGCTTCTCAACGCGGACGATGGCTCAATCGTGATTTCATGAAGCGTCACGTTCGCTGAGCATTCTGTCTCGAAAGCATCGAAAAGCAGAGACACTCGGGTGTTCGATGTCATTAAAGAAGAGGAAAGTGTGGAGGCGTCGCTACCCGATGATGAAGACAAACCAGCGCCGGTGACCGAACAAGAGCTACGCACCCCACCACTTCGAGCACAGAACAGCTCTCATCACGGACCAAGTGATCGACCAAGCGACACCATTCCCACGCGCGCATCCAGCACACCCGGAAGAAATGGAGAAGAAGAGTGGATGGTGCGACCGGTTCGGAAGAAGCGCGGCGTGGTCCGCTACGAACAAGAATTTCCAAGCCATCGTCGCGGTCACTTCAATTTGGACGACTACGAAGGTGACTTCGACTCTTTCTACTGTTTCTCGGCTGAAGAAGATGAGGAACAAGCGTCCAGATATCAAGAAGTGATGAAGAGCAGCTACAAGGAGCAGTGGCTCCAGGCAATGAAGAGTGAGATGAATTCGCTTGAAGAACACAGCACATGGAAGCTAGTGGACATGCCACCGGGCAAGAAGTCCGTTGGCTGCAAGTGGGTCTTCAAGATTAAACGCGATCCAAGTGGCGAGATCATCAAGTTCAAGGCACGCTTGGTTGCGAAGGAATTTACGCAGCGTCCTGGCATCGACTACAACGAGACCTTTGCACCAGTGGCGGTCAAGGAATCTATCAACACAGTGTTGGCGATCGCTGCAGCTGAAGACCTGGAAGCAGAAAACGTTGATGTCGACACAGCGTTTCTCTACGGCGAAGTGGAAGAGGAGATCTACATGGACCAACCTGACGGTTTTGAAGATAAAGGAAGCCCGAAAAAGAAGTGTTTGCTGCAGAAGGCGCTACACGGGACGAAGCAAGCGGCGCGGCAGTGGAACAACAAGTTGAGTCAGCACTTGGTTGATCAAGGATTCAAGAGCAGTGCAGCGGACCCGTGTGTGGTCGTTCGAGTGGCGAAAGAGGAGTACAGCATTATCGTGATCTACGTGGACGACTTGATGCTTTTCTGCAAGACGAAGGGGCACATCGCAAGTATCAAGAACTCTTTGATGGAAGAAATCAGCATCAAAGATCTTGGAGATCTCAAGTACTGCCTCAGGATCGAGATTCATCGCAAGCGTGGAGATGACACGATAAAGATAAACCAGAAGGCGTACATCACGCGACTGTCGGAGAAGTTCGGCGTCGAGAACTGGAAGGACGTGCAAACGCCGCCGGGAAGCAGCTCGAAGCTGATCATGATGGGTCAAGAGAAAGAGTTTGTGCCCATACCGTAAACTGGTGAGCGCTTTAATGTACATCGCCACGTGTACTCGACCGGACATTACGCATGCGGTTGGCGAAGTTGCGAAGTTTTAATGAGCACTACGACAAGTCGCATTGGACAGCGGCAAAGCGAATTCTCAGTTGTCGTAAGACGACTCGAGACTTAAGCATCTTGTTCGGCGGCACCTACAAGGGAAAGCTGATTGTATTCACGGATGCTGATTGGACTGCCGACTGTTGGAAAGTGATATTTCGTACCTAGCGGGGTACTAGTTGTACGCCGGTGAAGTCTGCTAGATAGTGTTAGATTAGTCCGTACAAGAGGTAGTTCTAAAATGTTCGATGCGTAGGGAAATGTGTGGCTGCGGCAGAGGCCGCTGCACTGATAGGTCTCACTTAGCGTTCGTTAAGCCACTGCAGAGGCCCGTGACAGCGGGCCTCTTCTGGGCCGAAACGTGTCTGGCAAGCGTCCGAAAGTTGAGTTTTTTGTATCGTGTGTTCTTAGTTTCGTACACCGACCTCGTCACGCGGCGTTCGACAACAGGATACGTTCCTTCCTGAACGGAAGCGTGATATCGGGGAATTTGAAGCGTCAACCAATGGTCGCAAATTCAGTAACTAAAGCAAAGTACATGAGTCCGTACAACGCGACGCAGGAGCAATTTGGCTTCGAGGTCTGCTCAAGGACCTGAACTACTGTGCCAAAATAGCGACCACAACCTTTAAGACAGTTAAGTTTGCATCGCGTTGGCCAAGAATCCCGGGTGCCACTCGCGCACGAAGCACATCGACATCAAGTTTCATTTTTGCGTGAAAAGGTTGTAAATGCAGTGATTGCGCTAGAGTTCAAGCCGACAGAAGAAATGGTCACGAATAGATTCACCAAGGCACTTACAAGAGAAAAGCACAGCAAAATCATCACAGGTCTGTGCATGGCGGTGTAGGGCGCTTACGTCGCACTCACTTCAAGGGAAAGTGTTAGCGAGTGATGATGCGGCGACATGTGCAGGATGTATACTGCATCTAAGCACTAGTTGCATTGTTCTTCGGTAAATTAATTTTGTGAGAAGATAGCGTTACGACATAGCATCGGATTGGCTCAGGCGTGTGGAAGGAGATTTCATGGTCTGATTGCGTGTCGAACCTCGCCTTGACACTCACGACCTGGTGTTTGGGGATCATTAAAACTGTGACTCACCCGCAGTAACGTCCCCCACAACGACGCAATCGTTAACGTCCTGAATATAAAATAGCAGATTTTTTACGAAAGGTATTTACGAGACGTAATTACTCAGTGAATACGTAAAGCGGTGGAGACAGGGACGAATAGGTGGATGAGAGTCACCGGCTACTTCTCGCCATTCGTTTTTGGAGCTAGGAACAATTTGAATACAACCCACTTTTCGGTTTCCATCCCCGGCCGTAAGCCGTCTTCTTCTTAGTGTCAGATCCGCAACCTAGTTTAAATCAAACATAATCCCTTGCGCTTACAGATCGAAGAAGCATCAAAGAAGGTTACCTTGTAGCCACGAATAAAGAATTTAATGAGAGTTCTCACTGCGGTAAAGGTAAATTTTAGCCCAATAGTGAGTACGATGTCACGTTGATTATACTGCTCTTTTTGTTAGACGTGGAAATTAATGCCAAGGTTAACTTTGGAATACTAGCTCGATAATGTGGCATCATACGCATTGCGCTTGACATTTCGTCCAAAAGGTCGATGCGGCATCGTTCTAAGAAGCGTAGCTCAAACGACATTATCTATCGTCGTACTTCATAGTTTGAGTCCATACTGCTAAATGGAAAATTACATACTCCTACCTCATTCGTGACGAAGATGATGATTTACGATCACCCCGTGCTTGATGCGCAAGAGCAGTTTAAGGAGCTGATGTAGGTATGAAGACTAAAGCTACCGTTGCGATCGCTTCCAAGAATAATGAAATTGTTGATAACTATTACGACTAGTATTCATCTATTCCAAAAAAATTAATTAGCATTTTTAGACTATCGACAGCTAAATCGAGTTGCCTCCTAAGTAGTTACAAAAGAAGTCTAAATAGAAGCTGTGCTGTTATCGGTAAAAACGTCTGCTTCATCTTGAGATACTTATATAATTGTTTTTATGTAGGCTTACGGCTTACTCAGAAATCAAAGCTATGAACAGAAACGTTATATGGTGAAAACCATTAAAAGCGGACGGAGTCAAATTCAAAGAGTGGTTTTGATATCAGCATGTACGTTCGTCTGGATATACCAACTATAAACTGAAGCCGTGAGCTACGCCATTTCAATCCAAGAAGTGCACGAGTTTCATCAGCAGCTGTAATAGTGCGTGGCTCAAAAGAATTAAATAGCTTAAGAGCATATTCATCAAGTGTTGCATTCCTCTCGACCTGACCATATCGATTTGAGCATTTGCGTATGAGCAATGCCAAAAAACCCGCATAGCTCGCACCGAATATAGGGCTTTATAGTGCTGTCAAGGGAGTGTCAATGTGATAGCTAAAGAAAATTGCTCGACAACAAAAAATAGTGTTTTCAAAAAAGAGACACGTTTTCACAAGTCGACGGCGCTTTTATGCTGGCCCAATACGTACAAGTTTACCTGTGAGTACTCCATACTAAATAGCATATATATTGCGAGCCCGATAGGGTGAAGCTATTAGTGATTGTGTGCAAGCTATATGCCGAACTTTTAAAGTGTTTAGCTTTGTGTGTCTGTATGCGCGTCGGTGTGTGTTTGAATAACGCTAAGTGTACCTTACACATCGTGCTATCCAGCCTGTCCCCCTCATGAGTATATGGGAATACACGAAGTAACTCTTTGACTAGGTCACTATTACTATGTACGTACGTGATTGTTTAACAATCGATAAAAGGTGAATATGGTTACATAAGCAATGCTGGACGCTAAAAAGCAAAAGATGATCGCGATTCTCGAGTATACTGTACTTTATCAATACGAACAAAAGCAGCATCATTCTCATTCCTTAGTTCCTGCTGTTGTACATTGTGTTGCGTCTAGAATTAGCTCCCCGAACAAGACTACATCTATCTAAGAACAAAATTTAGAGTTTGATCTCTAACTTTGGTATCAGGATTGCCCGCGCTAACGCGAGTCCATACCTGGTTTCTGCATCGCTACATTACTTGATCTGGTGTATCATCCATTAGATCTTTACGTTGTTCAACTTCAACTCCTAAACCCCTGAGAAGCTCGCCAAGATCACGCACTCATCCTTAGTGCTGGATTGCTTAAATAAAGCTGCATGATTCTGCTTCAATCTTTTTACTTTGAATACGTCATCGAGGTAGACTAACAAGAGACTAATCATGCTTTCTGTTCGATCTAAAACAAATGAGTTTAGTTTTGGATGCCTTGCAACCAATATCCTTTCGTAATAATCAAGATTCTTGTCAAATTTTCTTCTGGACTGATAAAGGCCCATAATGCCTTCTCCACTAACCATACATACTCAGGTCTGCACAGAAAGTCAAGTGCGCTGCTTACCTACTGATTTATAGCTGAATCCGCACTAACGTATGCCGTCGAAAAATCTACAGCATAAATTTAAAGTGATGATATCACCGTCGACCCAATATCATTTAAAACAAGTACAGCCTAACAACTGGAAAAAGGTCTCATTTAAGTCGAATCCATGCTTCTAATATTTTTTGAGAGCAGCCAAGGACGAAACCGATTAACATGGCCACGTGATACACTTTTTTTTGACTTGGAATTTCCACTTAGTCTTGATAGCTCGGTGTTTGTCAAGCACTTGCTTATTTTAATAACCGTTACCAGAACACTCGTGTTTTGCATTGCTTGCACCTTCGTTTTAACAACGTTTTGTTAGCGAGTGATGATGCGGCTACTTGTGCAGGGTGTATATTGCATATTTGCATCAGTTGTATTGTTCTTTGGCAGTTATATATTGTGGGATGTTGGCTGAAAGACCAAGCATCGGATAGGCCCAGGTTTGGGAAGGGGGATTCCACGCGGGTGAGTGTGGGTTCGATTCCCGCCGTGTACATGTCAGTTGTGACTGACACTCACGACCTGGTGTTTGGGGTTCACCAGAACTGTGACCCGCCCGCAGTTACGTCCCCCACCCACGCAATCGTTTTCATTCTGCATATGACACAGCAGAGTTTTTACGAAAGGTATTTACGAGACGTAATTACCCAGGGATAGGTAAAACAGAAAGCGGTGGAGACAGGGCACGAAATAGGTGGCTGAGAGCCATCGGCTACTACTAGCCATTCGTTTTCGAAGCTAGGAACAATCTGAATACAACTCACTTTTCGGTTTTCATCCCCGGCCATAAGCCATCTTCTTCTTGTTAGAATTAACCAGGTTGCGGAGCTGATGAGAAGAAGAAGATGGCTTACGGCCGGGGATTAAAACCGAAAAGTGAGTTGTATTCAAATTGTTCCTAGCTTCGAAAACGAATGGCTAGTAGTAGCCGGTGGCTCTCAGCCACCTATTTCGTGCCCTGTCTCCACCGCTTTCTGTTTTACCTATCACTGGGTAATTACGTCTCGTAAAGACCTTTCGTAAAAACTCTGCTGTGTCATATGCAGAATGAAAACGATTGCGTGGGTGGGGGACGTAACTGCGGGCGAGTCACAGTTCTGGTGAACCCCAAACACCAGGTCGTGAGTGTCAGTCACAATTAACTTGTTCACGGCGGGGATCAAACCCGCACTCACCCGCGTGGAATCCCCCTTCCCAAACGACTGAGCCAATCCGATGACTTGTCGTTTCGCTAACATCCCACAATATCAACCTGCCAAAGAACAATACAACTAATGCAAATATGCAATATACACCCTGCACAAGTCGCCGCATCATCACTCGCTAACACTCTCCCTTGATGTGCGTGCGACGTGTGCGCCCTACACCGCCATGCACAGACCCGTGATGAACTTGCTGTGCTTGTCTCTTGGAAGAGCCTTGGTGAACCCATCTGCGACCATTTCTTCCGTCGGCTTGAACTCGAGCGCGATAACTGCACTTACAACCTTTTCACGCAAAAAGTGAAACTTGATGTCGATGTGCTTCGTGCGCGAGTGGTACACAGGATTCTTGGCCAGCGCGATGCAACCTTGATTGTCTTGAAAAATCGTCGTCGCGTTCTTGGCACAGTAGTTCAAGTCCTTAAGCAGACCTCGAAGCCAAATTGCTTCCTGTGTCGCGCTGTAGAGACTCATGTACTCTGCTTCCGTACTTGAGGTCGCGACCGTTGGTTGACGCTTCGAATTCCACGATATCACGCTTCCGTTCAGGAAGAAAACGTATCCTGTTGTCGAACGCCGCGTGTCGAGGTCGCCAGCCCAGTTTGCATCCGCGAATCCGATCAGCTCTCCCTTGTTGATGCCGCTGAAAACGATGCTTAAATCTTGAGTCGTCTTGAGATACTTGAGAATCCGCTTTGCTGCTGTCCAATGCGACTTGTCGTAGCGCTCGCAAAACTTCGCAACTTCGCCAACCGCATGCGCAATGTCCGGTCGTGTACATGTGGCGATGTACATTAAAGCGCCCACCAGCTCACGGTATGGGTACTTTGGTACAAACGCTTCCTCTTGACCCATCTTGATCAGCTTCGAGTTACTGTCCGCTGGCGTGTGCACGTCCTTGCAGTTCTCAACGCCGAAGTTCTCCGACAGTCGCGTGATGTACGCCTTCTGGTTCATCTTGATCGTTCCATCTTCGCGCTTGCGATGAATCTCGATCCCGAGGCAGTACTTGAGATCTCCAAGATCTTTAATGCTGAAATCTTCCATCAATGAGTTCTTGATACTTGCGATGTGCTCCTTCGTCTTGCAGAAAATCATCAAGTCGTCCACGTAGATCACGATGATGCTGTACTCCTCTCTTGTCACTCGAACGAACACACACGGGTCCGCTGTACTGCTCTTGAATCCTTGATCAACCAAGTGCTGACTCAACTTGTTGTTCCACTGCCGCGCCGCTTGCTTCGTCCCGTATAGCGCCTTCTGCAGCAAACACTTCTTATTCGGGCTTCCTTCATCTTCAAAACCGTCAGGTTGGTCCATGTAGATCTCCTCTTCCACTTCGCCGTAGAGAAACGCTGTGTCGACATCAACGTTTTCTGCTTCCAGGTCTTCAGCTGCAGCGATCGCCAACACTGTGTTGATAGATTCCTTCCGCGCCACTGGTGCGAAGGTCTCGTTGTAGTCGATGCCAGGACGCTGCGTGAACCCTTTCGCAACCAAACGTGCCTTGAACTTGACAATCTCGCCACTTGGATCGCGTTTAATCTTGAAGACCCACTTGCAGCCAACGGACTTCTTGCCCGGTGGCATGTCCACTAGCTTCCATGTGCTGTGTTCTTCAAGCGACTTCATCTCACTCTTCATTGCCTGGAGCCACTGCTTCTTGTAGCCGCTCTTCATCACTTCTTGATATCTGGACGCTTGTTCCCCATCTTCTTCAGCCGAGAAACAGTAGAAAGAGTCGAAGTCACCTTCGTAGTCGTCCAAATTGAAGCGACCGCGACGATGGCTTGGAAATTCTTGTTCGTAGCGAACCACGCCGCGCTTCTTCCGAACCGGTCGCACCATCCACTCTTCTTCTCCATTTCTTCCGGGTGTGCTGGATGCGCGCGTGGGAATGGTGTCGCTTGGTCGATCACTTGGTCCGTGATGAGAGCTGTTCTGCGCTCGAAGTGGTGGGGTGCGCAGATCTTCTTCGGTCACCGGCGCTGGTATGTCTTCATCATCGGGTAGCGACGCCTCCACACTTTCCTCTTCTTCAATGACATCGAAGACCCGCGTGTCTCTGCTTTTTGATGCTTTCGAGACAGAATGCTCAGCGAACGTGACGCTTCTTGAAATCACGATTGAGCCATCGTCCGCGTTGAGAAGCCGATACGCCTTTTGGTCCTTCGCATAGCCGAGAAAGAAACATCGCACGCCTGAGTCGTCCAGCTTCTTTCTCTTCTCCTTCGCCACATGCGCATAGCATTGCGCACCAAACACGCGCATGTGATCGATGCGCGGAATCTTCTTGAACACCATCTCGTGTGGGCTTGAGCTCTTGTTCGACGCGTTCGGCAGAATGTTTCTGATGTCTGCCGCTGTCATCAGTGCCTCGCACCAATAGGACTTGTCGAGACCGCTTTCCTTTAGCATACAGCGCGTCACCTCCACCAGCGTGCGGTTCATCCGCTCCGCCATCCCGTTCTGCTCTGGGTTGTACGGAAACGTGAACTCTTGCTTGATGAACTTTGCCTTGCAAAAGCTGTTCATCGTTTCGTTCCGGTATTCGCCGCCGTTGTCACTTCGCAACACCTTTATCTTCGTTCCAGATGCTGTCTTGATATCTTGGTAAAACCGCTTGAACGCACTCGCAACGTCGCTCTTCTTTCGCAACGGATAGACCGTTACATACCTGCTCTTCATCATGATGAAGGTTACGGCGTAACTGAAACCAGACTTGGACGCTGGCGTGATAGGTCCGAGAACGTCGGAGCACACCACCACGTCGGAACGCGATTTCTCGCTGGTGTCAGAGTCTTCATCGCTTGACTTAAATGACTTGCGCACACGCTTTGACGTTGCGCATGCGTCACACGCAACGTTCGACTTCACCGTTGCGCCCTTGATCCTTCCGTCCTTGACCATGGCATTCAGCGTACCATACGACACGTGACCCAGTCTTCTATGCCATATCTCTGTATCGTCTTCGGCCATGTGGCACTCCGTACCATAGTCAGCATTGAGATACAGGAGGAACCCCTGCTTCCTTCCTGTTGCGACGGGTTTGCCGCCACGCTTCACCACGCACTCGTTGCGCGTAATCTCCACTGTCATGCCGCGCGCTGCCGCAGCCGTGAGCAACAACAGGTTCTTGGACAAATCTTGAACGTGGAGTGTGTTCTCAAGGCGAGTGTCGATCCACGAATGTCTGGACGCGCAGCTTCACTGTCCCATATCCGATGACATTTAGCTTCACGTCGTTCGTTGCGCTTGAAATACTTCGCGCATGATGCACTTCTTCGTAATCTTCGAACGCATCTCGACCCTTGCACATGTGTGCTGACGCGCCACTGTCCATGACCCAGCTGTTGCTCGCGAAACCTTCGCAAGCATTAAACGCGACATTCGACTGGTCATGCTGTTGCTCCCTTGGCCCTCGACCGGAGCGACAATCTCTGGCGTAGTGTCCGACCTTGCCACAGTTGTAGCAGGTCCCTGATGGTCCCTTCGCGCGCCGTACTTGTTGCTTCTTCGGGTACTGCTTACCCTTCCTCTTGCCTGCGTAGAGAGCCGTTGCATCTTCTACTCGTGCAGCCTCATTCTGGCGCACTTCTTCGGCGATCAACTTGCTCACGAGGTCACTGAAACTGAAGCTTGCGACGGACATGCGGAATGCCTGTACCAAGCTCTCGAAGCTTGAAGGTAGACTCCGCAACAGTACTGCGCACACGTCTTCTTCACTTGGACCGCAGTTCGCGCGCTTCATCTTCATCACGAGATCCTCCAGCTCCATCACATGACCGCTCATGCTTGATGCTGCATACTTGAACGACGCGAACTTTTCCTTCAGCCAAAGTCGATTCGCCATGTCATGACTGTGATGAAATCGCGCCAAACGTCCCCACGCTTCTCTTGCAGTGGCCGAGTCGATAACATGCATCAACTGCGAATCGCTCAGATTCAGCACGATCGCGGCGTGGGCTTGCTGTTCCTTGGCCTCACTTGTTGTCTCATCGCCCGCGATCGCGCCCCATAGCCCCTTCGATATCAGGTACATCTTCATCTTGTAACTCCACAACCCATAGTTCGAGCCGTCGAAAGGCTCGACCTTGAAACCGGAGTCGTTACTTGGGCTCATAACCTGTTAGAATTAACCAGGTTGCGGAGCTGATGAGAAGAAGAAGATGGCTTACGGCCGGGGATGAAAACCGAAAAGTGAGTTGTATTCAAATTGTTCCTAGCTTCGAAAACGAATGGCTAGTAGTAGCCGGTGGCTCTCAGCCACCTATTTCGTGCCCTGTCTCCACCGCTTTCTGTTTTACCTATCCCTGGGTAATTACGTCTCGTAAATACCTTTCGTAAAAACTCTGCTGTGTCATATGCAGAATGAAAACGATTGCGTGGGAGGGGGACGTAACTAAAGGATGTGATCGATTCTAGATGAAGTTGGCAAAATGCAAAGTGAATATATTTAGGTCCTTAGTTCACAAACTCCTGTTGCTAGTCTAAGCCTACTGAATTCATTCTGCCTATACGTTAGTAATCGCCACATTGCGCATTACTACTGGTATAGAGCAGATTAGTAATCGCCACATCGCGCATTACTAATCGTCTAGTCGCACATTACTAAATCTAGGCGGTGTGTTTCTAACAAACACCTAAACTTACTAAATGTGGGGGACGTCACTGTCTGGCAGGACAGTGCTGGTGAACCCCGGCACACCAGTACCCGAAGGTATTAACTTTTATTGCAGTCACTGGATATCGAACCAGTGACCTCTCGTATGGTGCTGCCACACCATACCACATGAGCTACGTGCATCTTACAAAATCAGCCTGCCAAGGCGTTTCTTTTGCAACACTCCCACTCGCCTCGGCAGACCGTGGCGCCTTGATGCCCAACATACTTCGAAGATACTGGAACTGTGATGCAGGAATTGGCTTGGTCATTAGGTCAGCCTTCATGTCCTTGGTCGAGCAGTATTCTAGGACCACTTTTCCTTCTGCCACCTTCTCACGCACAAAGTGATATCGAATGTCGATGTGCTTGGTCCGCTTGTGGAACTCGGGGTTCTTGGCCAAAGCGATGGAACCTTGATTGTCTTCGTAGATCTTGACTGCTTCGTCGCTATTCATATCGCCGAGTTCATGTAAGAATGCCTTAAGCCAAATTGCTTCTTGTACAGCTTCAGTCAAAGCCATGTACTCGGCTTCTGTAGACGATAGAGCCACGGTGCTCTGTTTCTTGCTTCTCCAGCTAATGCATCCGTTGTTCATCACAAAGGCGTACCCGCTTGTGCTTCGTCTAGCCTCGACATCTCCAGCCCAGTCCGCGTCCGAGTAGCCTTGCAGCTTGTCATCACTGGTTGCTTGGAATTCAATTCCATACGTCCTTGTGCCTTGAATAAAACGGAACACCCGCTTTAGCGCTTGCCAATGGGTTGGACAAGGTTCTGCCGCGAACTGACTGAGAACTCCCACTGCAACTGCGATATCCGGGCGGGTCCCCACCATGAGATACATCAAACAGCCGATGGCGTTGCGGTATGGCACATTTGCCATTGTTTCCGCATGCTTGCACCCATCTGCACACATTGACCTTGTCAACTTGAGTCCAGGGTCTTGTGGAGTCTTCACAGGTTTGCTGTTTTCCATGCCAAACTTCTCAAGGATGTCCTTTGCCTGACCAGTCTTTACTTGGGCCATGTCCTTCATCTCACCAGCTTTGTCTTTTGCCTGACCAGCCTTGTCTTGTGCCATACCCTTGGCTTGGCCCGCCTTCTCTGCGGCCATGTCCTTCATCTCACCGGCTTTGTCTTTTGCCTGACCAGCCTTGTCTTGTGCCATGTCCTTGGCTTGGCCCGCCTTCTCCGCAGCCATGTCCTTCATCTCGCCAGCCTTATCCTTCGCCTGGCCTGCCTTATCCTCCTTCTTTGTCGCGGCCTCAGTGACCTCGGCAGGAAGCACCGGTGTCATACAAAGCTTGAACAATCCCATTCCTTCTAGAGCGCCTAGTTTCCACTTGAAACCCTTCGTTTCCGCGAAGCAACCATCGACTTCATAGGTGACAGGCCCCACGTCCTTGATGAATCTTCCAACGGAAAATAAGTTTCGAGATAACTCTGGGTATGCCACACATTTGTGAGCACACCATTCTTGACCCCTTGACGAGTCCTCATTGGCATGACAATGTCACCCTTTTAATCGCTTGTACAATACCATCATCAGCAAGATGCACATCTACTGGAACAAAGTCCTTGTAGTTCCTCATAAATTTTTTCGAAATTGTCATGCGCTGCGTCGCTCCTGAATCGACCAGCCACATGTAACTCGACTTGGTCTTGCCAATACCAACCGAGAACAGGTAATCGCCAAGCTCTTCTTCTTGCGCGATATTCGCACGCTGGAACCTCTGTCTACCAGCGTCTTCTTGGATCCGCGAAGGGCATTCCGCAATCCAATGTCCTTGCTTTCCACAATTGTGGCACGCACCGGTCTTCTTAGCCGGTCGAGCCTTGCACTTGTTGTCTCTTGACATGAATGCTTGAGCTTGATCGTGCGCGGCTCCTTCGATTCCGCCACCTTGCTCCTTGCGCTTCATGTCTTCATGCAATAGCCGAGACGTCACTAGCTCCCACGACAGCGAGTCGGCTCTCGACTCCAATGCTGTTATCAGGAACTGGTACGACTCGCTAAGGCTGGCCAGAAGCGTGATGACCAAATCGTCCTCACTGACCGGAGCACCGACTATGTCCTGTTGCTCCGCCAGATTCTCGACTCTGTTGATGTGCCCCAGAACTTCATCACCTTCTCCCATCATTGTCGTGAAGAACCGGCGACGAAGGAAGAGCTTATTAGCCAAGCTTTTCTTCTCGTAGTGTCCTTCCAGACGTGACCATGCATCATATTCGCGTCCTTCGCCGAGCGAACCAGTGGCAACTGCGAATCCTCCATCGCAGACAGATAATCGCTAGCGCCTTTCGCGACTTTCGCTTGAACGTCGCTTGGTCCAAAGTACTTGTACAGTGCTCGATCTTGACCTCGCCGTTCATGACGTCCCAATGGGCTCGCTCCTCCCGCACCATTTGCATCTTAAACTTTCACACATGGAAGTTTGTTCCGGTGAACTTGTTGATTCGAGCGGCGGCGAACGGATATGAGTCAATGGCGAAGGCTTGATCGAGGTCTTTGTCAGAGTCTGCGAAGCTTGGGCTCATAACCTAAAGGATGTGATCGATTCTAGATGAAGTTGGCAAAATGCAAAGTGAATATATTTAGGTCCTTAGTTCACAAACTCCTGTTGCTAGTCTAAGCCTACTGAATTCTTTCTGCCTATACGTTAGTAATCGCCACATTGCGCATTACTACTGGTATAGAGCAGATTAGTAATCGCCACATCGCGCATTACTAATCGTCTAGTCGCACATTACTAAATCTAGGCGGTGTGTTTCTAACAAACACCTAAACTTACTAAATGTGGGGGACGTCACTGTCTGGCAGGACAGTGCTGGTGAACCCCGGCACACCAGTACCCGAAGGTATTAACTTTTATTGCAGTCACTGGATATCGAACCAGTGACCTCTCGTATGGTGCTGCCACACCATACCACATGAGCTACGTGCATCTTACAAAATCAGCCTGCCGAGGCGTTTCTTTTGCAACAGTAACTGCGGGCGGGTCACAGTTCTGGTGAACCCCAAACACCAGGTCGTGAGTGTCAGTCACAATTAACTTGTTCACGGCGAGGATCGAACCCGCACTCACCCGCGTGGAATCCCCCTTCTCAAACGACTGAGCCAATCCGATGACTTGTCGTTTCGCTAACATCCCACAATATATAACTGCCAAAGAACAATACAACTAATGCAAATATGCAATATACACCCTGCACAAGTCGCCGCATCATCACTCGCTAACACTCTCCCTTGATGTGCGTGCGACGTGTGCGCCCTACACCGCCATGCACAGACCCGTGATGAACTTGCTGTGCTTGTCTCTTGGAAGAGCCTTGGTGAATCCATCCGCGACCATTTCTTCTGTCGGCTTGAACTCTAGCGCGATCACTGCACTTGCAACCTTTTCTCGCAAAAAGTGAAACTTGATGTCGATGTGCTTCGTGCGCGAGTGGTACACAGGATTCTTGGCCAGCGCGATGCAACCTTGATTGTCTTGAAAAATCGTCGTCGCGTTCTTGGCACAGTAGTTCAGGTCCTTAAGCAGACCTCGAAGCCAAATTGCTTCCTGTGTCGCGCTGTAGAGACTCATGTACTCTGCTTCCGTACTTGAGGTCGCGACCGTTGGTTGACGCTTCGAATTCCACGATATCACGCTTCCGTTCAGGAAGAAAACGTATCCTGTTGTCGAACGCCGCGTGTCGAGGTCGCCAGCCCAGTTTGCATCCGCAAATCCAATCAGCTCTCCCTTGTTGATGCCGCTAAACACGATGCTTAAGTCTTGAGTCGTCTTGAGATACTTGAGAATCCGCTTTGCTGCTGTCCAATGCGACTTGTCGTAGCGCTCGCAAAACTTCGCAACTTCGCCAACCGCATGCGCAATGTCCGGTCGTGTACATGTGGCGATGTACATTAAAGCGCCCACCAGCTCACGGTATGGGTACTTTGGTACAAACGCTTCCTCTTGACCCATCTTGATCAGCTTCGAGTTACTGTCCGCTGGCGTGTGCACGTCCTTGCAGTTCTCAACGCCGAAGTTCTCCGACAGTCGCTTGATGTACGCCTTCTGGTTCATCTTGATCGTTCCATCTTCGCGCTTGCGATGAATCTCGATCCCGAGGCAGTACTTGAGATCTCCAAGATCTTTAATGCTGAAATCTTCCATCAATGAGTTCTTGATACTTGCGATGTGCTCTTTCGTCTTGCAGAAAATCATCAAGTCGTCCACGTAGATCACGATGATGCTGTACTCCTCTCTTGTCACTCGAACGAACACACACGGGTCCGCTGTACTGCTCTTGAATCCTTGATCAACCAAGTGCTGACTCAACTTGTTGTTCCACTGCCGCGCCGCTCGCTTCGTCCCGTATAGCGCCTTCTGCAGCAAACACTTCTTATTCGGGCTTCCTTCATCTTCAAAACCGTCAGGTTGGTCCATGTAGATCTCCTCTTCCACTTCACCGTAGAGAAACGCTGTGTCGACATCAACGTTTTCTGCTTCCAGGTCTTCAGCTGCAGCGATCGCCAACACTGTGTTGATAGATTCCTTGCGCGCCACTGGTGCGAAGGTCTCGTTATAGTCGATGCCAGGACGCTGCGTGAACCCTTTCGCAACCAAGCGTGCCTTGAACTTAATGATCTCGCCACTTGGATCGCGTTTAATCTTGAAGACCCACTTGCAGCCAACGGCCTTCTTGCCCGGTGGCATGTCCACTAGCTTCCATGTGCTGTGTTCTTCAAGCGACTTCATCTCACTCTTCATTGCCTGGAGCCACTGCTCCTTGTAGCCGCTCTTCATCACTTCTCGATAGCTGGACGCTTGTTCCCCATCTTCTTCAGCCGAGAAACAGTAGAAAGAGTCGAAGTCACCTTCGTAGTCGTCCAAATTGAAGCGACCGCGACGATGGCTTGAAATTCTTGTTCGTAGCGAACCACACCGCGCTTCTTCCGAACCGGTCGCACCATCCACTCTTCTTCTCCATTTCTTCCGGGTGTGCTGGATGCGCGCGTAGGAATGGTGTCGCTTGGTCGATCACTTGGTCCGGGATGAGAGCTGTTCTGCGCTCGAAGTGGTGGGGTGCGCAGCTCTTCTTCGGTCACCGGCGCTGGTATGTCTTCATTATCGGGTAGCGACGCCTCCACACTTTCCTCTTCTTCAATGACATCGAACAATCGCGTGTATTTGCTTTTCGATGCTTTCGAGACAGAATGCTCAGCGAACGTGACGCTTCTTGAGATCACGATCGAGCCATCGTCCGCGTTAAGTAGCCGATACGCCTTTTGATCCTTCGCATAGCCGAGAAAGAAACATCGCACGCCTGAGTCGTCCAGCTTCTTCCTCTTCTCCTTCGCCACATGCGCATAGCATTGCGCACCAAACACGCGCATGTGATCGATGCGCGGAACCTTCTTGAACACCATCTCGTGTGGGCTTGAGCTCTTGTTCGACGCGTTCGGCAGAATGTTTCTGATGTCTGCCGCTGTCATTAGTGCCTCGCACCAGTAGGACTTGTCGAGGCCGCTTTCCTTGAGCATACAGCGCGTCATCTCCACCAGCGTGCGGTTCATCCGCTCCGCCATCCCGTTCTGCTCTGGGTTGTACGGAACCGTGAACTCTTGCTTGATGAACTTTGCCTTGCAAAAGCTGTTCATAGTTTCGTTCCGGTATTCGCCGCCGTTGTCACTTCGCAACACCTTTATCTTCGTTCCAGATGCTGTCTTGACATCTTGGTAAAACCGCTTGAACGCACTCGCAACGTCGCTCTTCTTTCGCAACGGATAGACCGTTACATACCTGCTCTTCATCATGATGAAGGTTACGGCGTAACTGAAACCAGACTTGGACGCTGGCGTGATAGGTCCGAGAACGTCGGAGCACACCACCACGTCGGAACGCGATTTCTCGCTGGTGTCAGAGTCTTCATCGCTTGACTTAAATGACTTGCGCACACGCTTTGACGTTGCGCATGCGTCACACGCAACGTTCGACTTCACCGTTGCGCCCTTGATCCTTCCGTCCTTGACCATGGCATTCAGCGTACCATACGACACGTGACCCAGTCTTCTATGCCATATCTCTGTATCGTCTTCGGCCATGTGGCACTCCGTACCATAGTCAGCATTGAGATACAGGAGGAACCCCTGCTTCCTTCCTGTTGCGACGGGTTTGCCGCCACGCTTCACCACGCACTCGTTGCGCGTAATCTCCACTGTCATGCCGCGCGCTGCCGCAGCCGTGAGCAACAACAGGTTCTTGGACAAATCTTGAACGTGGAGTGTGTTCTCAAGGCGAGTGTCGATCCACGAATGTCTGGACGCGCAGCTTCACTGTCCCATATCCGATGACATTTAGCTTCACGTCGTTCGTTGCGCTTGAAATACTTCGCGCATGATGCACTTCTTCGTAATCTTCGAACGCATCTCGATCCTTGCACATGTGTGCTGACGCGCCACTGTCCATGACCCAGCTGTTGCTCGCGAAACCTTCGCAAGCATTAAACGCGACATTCGACTGGTCATGCTGTTGCTCCCTTGGCCCTCGACCGGAGCGACAATCTCTGGCGTAGTGTCCGACCTTGCCACAGTTGTAGCAGGTCCCTGATGGTCCCTTCGCGCGCCGTACTTGTAGCTTCTTCGGGTACTGCTTACCCTTCCTCTTGCCCGCGTAGAGCGCCGTCGCATCTTCTACCCGTGCAGCCTCATTCTGGCGCACATCTTCGGCGATCAACTTGCTCACGAGGTCACTGAAACTGAAACTTGCGACGGACATGCGGAATGCCTGTACCAAGCTCTCGAAGCTTGCAGGTAGACTCCGCAACAGTACTGCGCACACGTCCTCTTCGCTTGGACCGCAGTTCGCGCGCTTCATCTTCATCACGAGGTCCTCCAGCTCCACGACATGACCGCTCATGCTTGAAGCTGCATACTTGAACGACGCGAACTTTTCCTTCAGCCAAAGTCGATTCGCCATGTCATGACTGTGATGAAATCGCGCCAGACGTCCCCACGCTTCTCTTGCGGTGGCCGAGTCGATGACATGCATCAACTGCGAATCGCTCAGATTCAGCACGATCGCGGCGTGGGCTTGCTGTTCCTTGGCCTCACTTGTTGTCTCATCGCCCGCGATCGCGCCCCATAGCCCCTTCGACATCAGGTACATCTTCATCTTGTAACTCCACAACCCATAGTTCGAGCCGTCGAAAGGCTCGACCTTGAAACCGGAGTCGTTCTTTGGGCTCATAACCTGTTAGAATAAACTAGGTTGCGGAGCTGATGAGAAGAAGAAGATGGCTTACGGCCGGGGATGAAAACCGAAAAGTGAGTTGTATTCAAATTGTTCCTAGCTTCGAAAACGAATGGCTAGTAGTAGCCGGTGGCTCTCAGCCACCTATTTCGTGCCCTGTCTCCACCGCTTTCTGTTTTTACCTATCCCTGGGTAATTACGTCTCGTAAATACCTTTCGTAAAAACTCTGCTGTGTCATATGCAGAATGAAAACGATTGCGTGGGTGGGGGGACGTAACTGCGGGCGGGTCACAGTTCTGGTGAACCCCAAACACCAGGTCGTGAGTGTCAGTCACAATTAACTTGTTCACGGCGGGGATCAAACCCGCACTCACCCGCGTGGAATCCCCCTTCCCAAACGACTGAGCCAATCCGATGACTTGTCGTTTCGCTAACATCCCACAATATATAACTGCCAAAGAACAATACAACTAATGCAAATATGCAATATACACCCTGCACAAGTCGCCGCATCATCACTCGCTAACACTCTCCCTTGATGTGCGTGCGACGTGTGCGCCCTACACCGCCATGCACAGACCCGTGATGAACTTGCTGTGCTTGTCTCTTGGAAGAGCCTTGGTGAACCCATCTGCGACCATTTCTTCCGTCGGCTTGAACTCGAGCGCGATAACTGCACTTGCAACCTTTTCACGCAAAAAGTGAAACTTGATGTCGATGTGCTTCGTGCGCGAGTGGTACACAGGATTCTTGGCCAGCGCGATGCAACCTTGATTGTCTTGAAAAATCGTCGTCGCGTTCTTGGCACAGTAGTTCAAGTCCTTAAGCAGACCTCGAAGCCAAATTGCTTCCTGTGTCGCGCTGTAGAGACTCATGTACTCTGCTTCCGTACTTGAGGTCGCGACCGTTGGTTGACGCTTCGAATTCCACGATATCACGCTTCCGTTCAGGAAGAAAACGTATCCTGTTGTCGAACGCCGCGTGTCGAGGTCGCCAGCCCAGTTTGCATCCGCGAATCCGATCAGCTCTCCCTTGTTGATGCCGCTAAACACGATGCTTAAGTCTTGAGTCGTCTTGAGATACTTGAGAATCCGCTTTGCTGCTGTCCAATGCGACTTGTCGTAGCGCTCGCAAAACTTCGCAACTTCGCCAACCGCATGCGCAATGTCCGGTCGTGTACATGTGGCGATGTACATTAAAGCGCCCACCAGCTCACGGTATGGGTACTTTGGTACAAACGCTTCCTCTTGACCCATCTTGATCAGCTTCGAGTTACTGTCCGCTGGCGTGTGCACGTCCTTGCAGTTCTCAACGCCGAAGTTCTCCGACAGTCGCGTGATGTACGCCTTCTGGTTCATCTTGATCGTTCCATCTTCGCGCTTGCGATGAATCTCGATCCCGAGGCAGTACTTGAGATCTCCAAGATCTTTAATGCTGAAATCTTCCATCAATGAGTTCTTGATACTTGCGATGTGCTCCTTCGTCTTGCAGAAAATCATCAAGTCGTCCACGTAGATCACGATGATGCTGTACTCCTCTCTTGTCACTCGAACGAACACACACGGGTCCGCTGTACTGCTCTTGAATCCTTGATCAACCAAGTGCTGACTCAACTTGTTGTTCCACTGCCGCGCCGCTTGCTTCGTCCCGTGTAGCGCCTTCTGCAGCAAACACTTCTTATTCGGGCTTCCTTCATCTTCAAAACCGTCAGGTTGGTCCATGTAGATCTCCTCTTCCACTTCGCCGTAGAGAAACGCTGTGTCGACATCAACGTTTTCTGCTTCCAGGTCTTCAGCTGCAGCGATCGCCAACACTGTGTTGATAGATTCCTTGCGCGCCACTGGTGCGAAGGTCTCGTTATAGTCGATGCCAGGACGCTGCGTGAACCCTTTCGCAACCAAGCGTGCCTTGAACTTAATGATCTCGCCACTTGGATCGCGTTTAATCTTGAAGACCCACTTGCAGCCAACGGCCTTCTTGCCCGGTGGCATGTCCACTAGCTTCCATGTGCTGTGTTCTTCAAGCGACTTCATCTCACTCTTCATTGCCTGGAGCCACTGCTCCTTGTAGCCGCTCTTCATCACTTCTCGATAGCTGGACGCTTGTTCCCCATCTTCTTCAGCCGAGAAACAGTAGAAAGAGTCGAAGTCACCTTCGTAGTCGTCCAAATTGAAGCGACCGCGACGATGGCTTGGAAATTCTTGTTCGTAGCGAACCACACCGCGCTTCTTCCGAACCGGTCGCACCATCCACTCTTCTTCTCCATTTCTTCCGGGTGTGCTGGATGCGCGCGTAGGAATGGTGTCGCTTGGTCGATCACTTGGTCCGGGATGAGAGCTGTTCTGCGCTCGAAGTGGTGGGGTGCGCAGCTCTTCTTCGGTCACCGGCGCTGGTATGTCTTCATTATCGGGTAGCGACGCCTCCACACTTTCCTCTTCTTCAATGACATCGAACAATCGCGTGTATTTGCTTTTCGATGCTTTCGAGACAGAATGCTCAGCGAACGTGACGCTTCTTGAGATCACGATCGAGCCATCGTCCGCGTTAAGTAGCCGATACGCCTTTTGATCCTTCGCATAGCCGAGAAAGAAACATCGCACGCCTGAGTCGTCCAGCTTCTTCCTCTTCTCCTTCGCCACATGCGCATAGCATTGCGCACCAAACACGCGCATGTGATCGATGCGCGGAACCTTCTTGAACACCATCTCGTGTGGGCTTGAGCTCTTGTTCGACGCGTTCGGCAGAATGTTTCTGATGTCTGCCGCTGTCATTAGTGCCTCGCACCAGTAGGACTTGTCGAGGCCGCTTTCCTTGAGCATACAGCGCGTCATCTCCACCAGCGTGCGGTTCATCCGCTCCGCCATCCCGTTCTGCTCTGGGTTGTACGGAACCGTGAACTCTTGCTTGATGAACTTTGCCTTGCAAAAGCTGTTCATAGTTTCGTTCCGGTATTCGCCGCCGTTGTCACTTCGCAACACCTTTATCTTCGTTCCAGATGCTGTCTTGACATCTTGGTAAAACCGCTTGAACGCACTCGCAACGTCGCTCTTCTTTCGCAACGGATAGACCGTTACATACCTGCTCTTCATCATGATGAAGGTTACGGCGTAACTGAAACCAGACTTGGACGCTGGCGTGATAGGTCCGAGAACGTCGGAGCACACCACCACGTCGGAACGCGATTTCTCGCTGGTGTCAGAGTCTTCATCGCTTGACTTAAATGACTTGCGCACACGCTTTGACGTTGCGCATGCGTCACACGCAACGTTCGACTTCACCGTTGCGCCCTTGATCCTTCCGTCCTTGACCATGGCATTCAGCGTACCATACGACACGTGACCCAGTCTTCTATGCCATATCTCTGTATCGTCTTCGGCCATGTGGCACTCCGTACCATAGTCAGCATTGAGATACAGGAGGAACCCCTGCTTCCTTCCTGTTGCGACGGGTTTGCCGCCACGCTTCACCACGCACTCGTTGCGCGTAATCTCCACTGTCATGCCGCGCGCTGCCGCAGCCGTGAGCAACAACAGGTTCTCGGACAAATCTTGAACGTGGAGTGTGTTCTCAAGGCGAGTGTCGATCCACGAATGTCTGGACGCGCAGCTTCACTGTCCCATATCCGATGACATTTAGCTTCACGTCGTTCGTTGCGCTTGAAATACTTCGCGCATGATGCACTTCTTCGTAATCTTCGAACGCATCTCGACCCTTGCACATGTGTGCTGACGCGCCACTGTCCATGACCCAGCTGTTGCTCGCGAAACCTTCGCAAGCATTAAACGCGACATTCGACTGGTCATGCTGTTGCTCCCTTGGCCCTCGACCGGAGCGACAATCTCTGGCGTAGTGTCCGACCTTGCCACAGTTGTAGCAGGTCCCTGATGGTCCCTTCGCGCGCCGTACTTGTAGCTTCTTCGGGTACTGCTTACCCTTCCTCTTGCCCGCGTAGAGCGCCGTCGCATCTTCTACCCGTGCAGCCTCATTCTGGCGCACTTCTTCGGCGATCAACTTGCTCACGAGGTCACTGAAACTGAAACTTGCGACGGACATGCGGAATGCCTGTACCAAGCTCTCGAAGCTTGCAGGTAGACACCGCAACAGTACTGCGCACACGTCCTCTTCGCTTGGACCGCAGTTCGCGCGCTTCATCTTCATCACGAGGTCCTCCAGCTCCATGACATGACCGCTCATGCTTGAAGCTGCATACTTGAACGACGCGAACTTTTCCTTCAGCCAAAGTCGATTCGCCATGTCATGACTGTGATGAAATCGCGCCAGACGTCCCCACGCTTCTCTTGCGGTGGCCGAGTCGATGACATGCATCAACTGCGAATCGCTCAGATTCAGCACGATCGCGGCGTGGGCTTGCTGTTCCTTGGCCTCACTTGTTGTCTCATCGCCCGCGATCGCGCCCCATAGCCCCTTCGACATCAGGTACATCTTCATCTTGTAACTCCACAACCCATAGTTCGAGCCGTCGAAAGGCTCGACCTTGAAACCGGAGTCGTTCTTTGGGCTCATAACCTGTTAGAATAAACTAGGTTGCGGAGCTGATGAGAAGAAGAAGATGGCTTACGGCCGGGGATGAAAACCGAAAAGTGAGTTGTATTCAAATTGTTCCTAGCTTCGAAAACGAATGGCTAGTAGTAGCCGGTGGCTCTCAGCCACCTATTTCGTGCCCTGTCTCCACCGCTTTCTGTTTTACCTATCCCTGGGTAATTACGTCTCGTAAATACCTTTCGTAAAAACTCTGCTGTGTCATATGCAGAATGAAAACGATTGCGTGGGTGGGGGGACGTAACTGCGGGCGGGTCACAGTTCTGGTGAACCCCAAACACCAGGTCGTGAGTGTCAGTCACAATTAACTTGTTCACGGCGGGGATCAAACCCGCACTCACCCGCGTGGAATCCCCCTTCCCAAACGACTGAGCCAATCCGATGACTTGTCGTTTCGCTAACATCCCACAATATCAACCTGCCAAAGAACAATACAACTAATGCAAATATGCAATATACACCCTGCACAAGTCGCCGCATCATCACTCGCTAACACTCTCCCTTGATGTGCGTGCGACGTGTGCGCCCCTACACCGCCATGCACAGACCCGTGATGAACTTGCTGTGCTTGTCTCTTGGAAGAGCCTTGGTGAACCCATCTGCGACCATTTCTTCCGTCGGCTTGAACTCGAGCGCGATAACTGCACTTGCAACCTTTTCACGCAAAAAGTGAAACTTGATGTCGATGTGCTTCGTGCGCGAGTGGTACACAGGATTCTTGGCCAGCGCGATGCAACCTTGATTGTCTTGAAAAATCGTCGTCGCGTTCTTGGCACAGTAGTTCAAGTCCTTAAGCAGACCTCGAAGCCAAATTGCTTCCTGTGTCGCGCTGTAGAGACTCATGTACTCTGCTTCCGTACTTGAGGTCGCGACCGTTGGTTGACGCTTCGAATTCCACGATATCACGCTTCCGTTCAGGAAGAAAACGTATCCTGTTGTCGAACGCCGCGTGTCGAGGTCGCCAGCCCAGTTTGCATCCGCGAATCCGATCAGCTCTCCCTTGTTGATGCCGCTAAACACGATGCTTAAGTCTTGAGTCGTCTTGAGATACTTGAGAATCCGCTTTGCTGCTGTCCAATGCGACTTGTCGTAGCGCTCGCAAAACTTCGCAACTTCGCCAACCGCATGCGCAATGTCCGGTCGTGTACATGTGGCGATGTACATTAAAGCGCCCACCAGCTCACGGTATGGGTACTTTGGTACAAACGCTTCCTCTTGACCCATCTTGATCAGCTTCGAGTTACTGTCCGCTGGCGTGTGCACGTCCTTGCAGTTCTCAACGCCGAAGTTCTCCGACAGTCGCGTGATGTACGCCTTCTGGTTCATCTTGATCGTTCCATCTTCGCGCTTGCGATGAATCTCGATCCCGAGGCAGTACTTGAGATCTCCAAGATCTTTAATGCTGAAATCTTCCATCAATGAGTTCTTGATACTTGCGATGTGCTCCTTCGTCTTGCAGAAAATCATCAAGTCGTCCACGTAGATCACGATGATGCTGTACTCCTCTCTTGTCACTCGAACGAACACACACGGGTCCGCTGTACTGCTCTTGAATCCTTGATCAACCAAGTGCTGACTCAACTTGTTGTTCCACTGCCGCGCCGCTTGCTTCGTCCCGTATAGCGCCTTCTGCAGCAAACACTTCTTATTCGGGCTTCCTTCATCTTCAAAACCGTCAGGTTGGTCCATGTAGATCTCCTCTTCCACTTCGCCGTAGAGAAACGCTGTGTCGACATCAACGTTTTCTGCTTCCAGGTCTTCAGCTGCAGCGATCGCCAACACTGTGTTGATAGATTCCTTCCGCGCCACTGGTGCGAAGGTCTCGTTGCAGTCGATGCCAGGACGCTGCGTGAACCCTTTCGCAACCAAACGTGCCTTGAACTTGACAATCTCGCCACTTGGATCGCGTTTAATCTTGAAGACCCACTTGCAGCCAACGGACTTCTTGCCCGGTGGCATGTCCACTAGCTTCCATGTGCTGTGTTCTTCAAACGACTTCATCTCACTCTTCATTGCCTGGAGCCACTGCTTCTTGTAGCCGCTCTTCATCACTTCTCGATAGCTGGACGCTTGTTCCCCATCTTCTTCAGCCGAGAAACAGTAGAAAGAGTCGAAGTCACCTTCGTAGTCGTCCAAATTGAAGCGACCGCGACGATGGCTTGGAAATTCTTGTTCGTAGCGAACCACACCGCGCTTCTTCCGAACCGGTCGCACCATCCACTCTTCTTCTCCATTTCTTCCGGGTGTGCTGGATGCGCGCGTAGGAATGGTGTCGCTTGGTCGATCACTTGGTCCGGGATGAGAGCTGTTCTGCGCTCGAAGTGGTGGGGGTGCGCAGCTCTTCTTCGGTCACCGGCGCTGGTATGTCTTCATTATCGGGTAGCGACGCCTCCACACTTTCCTCTTCTTCAATGACATCGAACAATCGCGTGTATTTGCTTTTCGATGCTTTCGAGACAGAATGCTCAGCGAACGTGACGCTTCTTGAGATCACGATGGAGCCATCGTCCGCGTTAAGTAGCCGATACGCCTTTTGATCCTTCGCATAGCCGAGAAAGAAACATCGCACGCCTGAGTCGTCCAGCTTCTTCCTCTTCTCCTTCGCCACATGCGCATAGCATTGCGCACCAAACACGCGCATGTGATCGATGCGCGGAACCTTCTTGAACACCATCTCGTGTGGGCTTGAGCTCTTGTTCGACGCGTTCGGCAGAATGTTTCTGATGTCTGCCGCTGTCATTAGTGCCTCGCACCAGTAGGACTTGTCGAGGCCGCTTTCCTTGAGCATACAGCGCGTCATCTCCACCAGCGTGCGGTTCATCCGCTCCGCCATCCCGTTCTGCTCTGGGTTGTACGGAACCGTGAACTCTTGCTTGATGAACTTTGCCTTGCAAAAGCTGTTCATAGTTTCGTTCCGGTATTCGCCGCCGTTGTCACTTCGCAACACCTTTATCTTCGTTCCAGATGCTGTCTTGACATCTTGGTAAAACCGCTTGAACGCACTCGCAACGTCGCTCTTCTTTCGCAACGGATAGACCGTTACATACCTGCTCTTCATCATGATGAAGGTTACGGCGTAACTGAAACCAGACTTGGACGCTGGCGTGATAGGTCCGAGAACGTCGGAGCACACCACCACGTCGGAACGCGATTTCTCGCTGGTGTCAGAGTCTTCATCGCTTGACTTAAATGACTTGCGCACACGCTTTGACGTTGCGCATGCGTCACACGCAACGTTCGACTTCACCGTTGCGCCCTTGATCCTTCCGTCCTTGACCATGGCATTCAGCGTACCATACGACACGTGACCCAGTCTTCTATGCCATATCTCTGTATCGTCTTCGGCCATGTGGCACTCCGTACCATAGTCAGCATTGAGATACAGGAGGAACCCCTGCTTCCTTCCTGTTGCGACGGGTTTGCCGCCACGCTTCACCACGCACTCGTTGCGCGTAATCTCCACTGTCATGCCGCGCGCTGCCGCAGCCGTGAGCAACAACAGGTTCTCGGACAAATCTTGAACGTGGAGTGTGTTCTCAAGGCGAGTGTCGATCCACGAATGTCTGGACGCGCAGCTTCACTGTCCCATATCCGATGACATTTAGCTTCACGTCGTTCGTTGCGCTTGAAATACTTCGCGCATGATGCACTTCTTCGTAATCTTCGAACGCATCTCGACCCTTGCACATGTGTGCTGACGCGCCACTGTCCATGACCCAGCTGTTGCTCGCGAAACCTTCGCAAGCATTAAACGCGACATTTGACTGGTCATGCTGTTGCTCCCTTGGCCCTCGACCGGAGCGACAATCTCTGGCGTAGTGTCCGACCTTGCCACAGTTGTAGCAGGTCCCTGATGGTCCCTTCGCGCGCCGTACTTGTAGCTTCTTCGGGTACTGCTTACCCTTCCTCTTGCCCGCGTAGAGCGCCGTCGCATCTTCTACCCGTGCAGCCTCATTCTGGCGCACTTCTTCGGCGATCAACTTGCTCACGAGGTCACTGAAACTGAAACTTGCGACGGACATGCGGAATGCCTGTACCAAGCTCTCGAAGCTTGCAGGTAGACTCCGCAACAGTACTGCGCACACGTCCTCTTCGCTTGGACCGCAGTTCGCGCGCTTCATCTTCATCACGAGGTCCTCCAGCTCCATGACATGACCGCTCATGCTTGAAGCTGCATACTTGAACGACGCGAACTTTTCCTTCAGCCAAAGTCGATTCGCCATGTCATGACTGTGATGAAATCGCGCCAGACGTCCCCACGCTTCTCTTGCGGTGGCCGAGTCGATGACATGCATCAACTGCGAATCGCTCAGATTCAGCACGATCGCGGCGTGGGCTTGCTGTTCCTTGGCCTCACTTGTTGTCTCATCGCCCGCGATCGCGCCCCATAGCCCCTTCGACATCAGGTACATCTTCATCTCGTAACTCCACAACCCATAGTTCGAGCCGTCGAAAGGCTCGACCTTGAAACCGGAGTCGTTCTTTGGGCTCATAACCTGTTAGAATAAACTAGGTTGCGGAGCTGATGAGAAGAAGAAGATGGCTTACGGCCGGGGATGAAAACCGAAAAGTGAGTTGTATTCAAATTGTTCCTAGCTTCGAAAACGAATGGCTAGTAGTAGCCGGTGGCTCTCAGCCACCTATTTCGTGCCCTGTCTCCACCGCTTTCTGTTTTACCTATCCCTGGGTAATTACGTCTCGTAAATACCTTTCGTAAAAACTCTGCTGTGTCATATGCAGAATGAAAACGATTGCTGGGTGGGTGGGGGACGTAACTGCGGGCGGGTCACAGTTCTGGTGAACCCCAAACACCAGGTCGTGAGTGTCAGTCACAATTAACTTGTTCACGGCGGGGGATCAAACCCGCACTCACCCGCGTGGAATCCCCCTTCCCAAACGACTGAGCCAATCCGATGACTTGTCGTTTCGCTAACATCCCACAATATCAACCTGCCAAAGAACAATACAACTAATGCAAATATGCAATATACACCCTGCACAAGTCGCCGCATCATCACTCGCTAACACTCTCCCTTGATGTGCGTGCGACGTGTGCGCCCTACACCGCCATGCACAGACCCGTGATGAACTTGCTGTGCTTGTCTCTTGGAAGAGCCTTGGTGAATCCATCCGCGACCATTTCTTCTGTCGGCTTGAACTCTAGCGCGATCACTGCACTTGCAACCTTTTCTCGCAAAAAGTGAAACTCGATGTCGATGTGCTTCGTGCGCGAGTGGTACACAGGATTCTTGGCCAGCGCGATGCAACCTTGATTGTCTTGAAAAATCGTCGTCGCGTTCTTGGCACAGTAGTTCAGGTCCTTAAGCAGACCTCGAAGCCAAATTGCTTCCTGTGTCGCGCTGTAGAGACTCATGTACTCTGCTTCCGTACTTGAGGTCGCGACCGTTGGTTGACGCTTCGAATTCCACGATATCACGCTTCCGTTCAGGAAGAAAACGTATCCTGTTGTCGAACGCCGCGTGTCGAGGTCGCCAGCCCAGTTTGCATCCGCAAATCCAATCAGCTCTCCCTTGTTGATGCCGCTAAACACGATGCTTAAGTCTTGAGTCGTCTTGAGATACTTGAGAATCTGCTTTGCTGCTGTCCAATGCGACTTGTCGTAGCGCTCGCAAAACTTCGCAACTTCGCCAACCGCATGCGCAATGTCCGGTCGTGTACATGTGGCGATGTACATTAAAGCGCCCACCAGCTCACGGTATGGGTACTTTGGTACAAACGCTTCCTCTTGACCCATCTTGATCAGCTTCGAGTTACTGTCCGCTGGCGTGTGCACGTCCTTGCAGTTCTCAACGCCGAAGTTCTCCGACAGTCGCGTGATGTACGCCTTCTGGTTCATCTTGATCGTTCCATCTTCGCGCTTGCGATGAATCTCGATCCCGAGGCAGTACTTGAGATCTCCAAGATCTTTAATGCTGAAATCTTCCATCAATGAGTTCTTGATACTTGCGATGTGCTCCTTCGTCTTGCAGAAAATCATCAAGTCGTCCACGTAGATCACGATGATGCTGTACTCCTCTCTTGTCACTCGAACGAACACACACGGGTCCGCTGTACTGCTCTTGAATCCTTGATCAACCAAGTGCTGACTCAACTTGTTGTTCCACTGCCGCGCCGCTTGCTTCGTCCCGTGTAGCGCCTTCTGCAGCAAACACTTCTTATTCGGGCTTCCTTCATCTTCAAAACCGTCAGGTTGGTCCATGTAGATCTCCTCTTCCACTTCGCCGTAGAGAAACGCTGTGTCGACATCAACGTTTTCTGCTTCCAGGTCTTCAGCTGCAGCGATCGCCAACACTGTGTTGATAGATTCCTTGCGCGCCACTGGTGCGAAGGTCTCGTTATAGTCGATGCCAGGACGCTGCGTGAACCCTTTCGCAACCAAGCGTGCCTTGAACTTAATGATCTCGCCACTTGGATCGCGTTTAATCTTGAAGACCCACTTGCAGCCAACGGCCTTCTTGCCCGGTGGCATGTCCACTAGCTTCCATGTGCTGTGTTCTTCAAGCGACTTCATCTCACTCTTCATTGCCTGGAGCCACTGCTCCTTGTAGCCGCTCTTCATCACTTCTCGATAGCTGGACGCTTGTTCCCCATCTTCTTCAGCCGAGAAACAGTAGAAAGAGTCGAAGTCACCTTCGTAGTCGTCCAAATTGAAGCGACCGCGACGATGGCTTGGAAATTCTTGTTCGTAGCGAACCACACCGCGCTTCTTCCGAACCGGTCGCACCATCCACTCTTCTTCTCCATTTCTTCCGGGTGTGCTGGATGCGCGCGTAGGAATGGTGTCGCTTGGTCGATCACTTGGTCCGGGATGAGAGCTGTTCTGCGCTCGAAGTGGTGGGGTGCGCAGCTCTTCTTCGGTCACCGGCGCTGGTATGTCTTCATTATCGGGTAGCGACGCCTCCACACTTTCCTCTTCTTCAATGACATCGAACAATCGCGTGTATTTGCTTTTCGATGCTTTCGAGACAGAATGCTCAGCGAACGTGACGCTTCTTGAGATCACGATCGAGCCATCGTCCGCGTTAAGTAGCCGATACGCCTTTTGATCCTTCGCATAGCCGAGAAAGAAACATCGCACGCCTGAGTCGTCCAGCTTCTTCCTCTTCTCCTTCGCCACATGCGCATAGCATTGCGCACCAAACACGCGCATGTTATTGGTAATGGTGTTGGGTACTGATACTAATGACCATATGTCATGGACGACACTGTGTGATAGTGTGTAACGATGGGATCGACTCATCGTTTTGTTACTAATATTATAGAGTCGATATCGATAGGCTTAGAGTAGTACAACGAGACGAACTAAGGACCTAGCTAGATGATAATTCACTTTCCATTTTACCTTCTTCTAAGCTCTCCCACCTCAACTCGCTCTTGGCAGTTGCCAAAAGTCAAAAGGTTATGAGCCCAACTACGCCGGATGCGGGCGACATACTCCGCGAAGATAACTACTTCGTGTGGGAGTTCAACGCAAGGATGAGGCTGGCAAAGAAGGGATTGCTAGAGCACCTAGACGCTATGAAGGCCCCAGAAGAAGGAGACGCAAGCGCGTCAACTTGGAAAGTCAACGACATGAAGGCCTTCGCGATTGTGTCCACAATGATCAGCACAAATCTTCAGTCAATGGTGCGCACGGCAGAGACAACGGCAAAAGCATGGGACATACTGAAGACTTTCTTCCTGCGGCAAAGTATGCACAATCGTGTGCAGTTGCGGCGGCAACTACATGAGTTCAAGTTGGCCAAGGGAGGAAGCATCATGGATCACTTCCTGAGATTTGACGAGCTGTGCATGACTATGCAAGCTGTGGGACAAGAGATCTCACAGGATGAGCATTTGGTCATCCTATTGGGTAGTCTAACGAGAGACTATGACCCCATCGTCAAGATAATTGAGAACATGCCCGGAATGACACTGTTTCACGCTAAGGAAATGCTGAGACGGGAGTACGATGGAATGGCGAGGACAGAACACCAAGAAATCGCACTGAAAAGTACGCACACTTCCAAGTACAAGAAAGGTCCGCGCAGACATATGGGGAGATCAAGTTCAAGAGGTGAAAAGTTCTCGGGAAGGTGTTACCGATGTAACAAATATGGGCACAAGCGTCAAGATTGCAAGGCTGAACAAGTGGAGACAGAGCGATCTGGAGAAGAGAGAGCATTTACTGCGTCAAGTCGGACGTCAGCTGGATGGTTATTGGACAGTGGGGCAAGCAGCCACATGTGTCCCGACAGAAATGAGTTTTCGAATTTAAACTCACTGACGGACCCGATCATGATCACCATAGCAGACGGCAGCGAAGTGGAAGCGCAAGGTGTTGGGACAGTGCGCGTGCAACTCAAGACTGGTGAAGTGATCAGGATCGAAGAAACGCTATGGGTGCCGGGCCTAGACCGAAGGCTACTGTCAATATCGGCATTGTCAAAGAGGGGTCTACAAGTGATCTTCTCAGATCTGAGCTGTCAGATCAGAAGTAACACGGAAGTCGTTGCCCAAATACCAAGACGAAACAAGATGTACGTCTTAGAGTGCAGTCCGGCTGAGGTAGCCAACGTTTGCGAAGAGACATCTCAAGAGCAAGAATCAGGTGACGGATCAGGAGCGGCTGATCTACAAGTGTGGCATGCAAGATTAGGTCACCTGTCAACGAAGATGCTCAAGGGTATGGCAGGTTGCGTCAATGGATTAAAGATCAAGAAGAATCAAGGCGTTGAAGATGATATCGAGATCTGCGAAGGGTGCATCATGGGTAAAGCAACCGTCAAGACGTTTCCGAAGTCACCATACGGACACGTGAAAACCAAGGAAGTGTTGCAGTTGGTCCACAGTGATGTCATGGGACCTATGGAATTGAAGTCTCGAGGAGGATCAAGATTTGTCGTGACTTTTATTGATGATTATTCGAGATATATAGTCGCATACTATATTGAGAACAAGTCGGAAGTGACGGATCGCTTTATAGAGTTAAAGGCACTTATGGAGAATCAACTGTCCAAGAAGATCAAGTGTATCAGGACGGACAACGGGACGGAATACGTCAACAGACGTTTCTCCGGTGTATGTCGAAAATCTGGTATCATGCATCAGACGACGGTACCCTATTCGCCACAACAGAATGGGCTGGCCGAACGCATGAACAGGACACTGACAGAGCGGGCCAGAGCAATGCTCAGCCATATGCAAGTGGATAAAATTTGGTGGGCTGAGGCGATGAACACGGCAGTCTATGTGACAAACCGAGTTCCATGTGCTAGTCACCCGACTAAAACTCCATTTGAGTTCATCTTCGGGAAGAAGCCTGACCTCTCCGAGATGTGTGTATTTGGATCAAAGGGATATGCACATGTCGACAAGTCGAACAGGACCAAGATGACCAAGAAGGCGATTCGATGTATTTTTCTAGGTTACTCGGATCAAATCAAGGGGCTTCGAATATGGGATGAAGATGCCAAGAGGGTGACGCACACGAGATCGGCTAAATTCGATGAGAGACCACCACTTCAGTACGTGCAACATTACAGCAGATCAAGTGACCAAGAGTTTCGCGCTGTTCATGACAAAGACACTGTTTCTATCGATTTAGAACAGCCACGAGTCACGAAAGACATGGATATAGCAATGGAGGACAGTCACAATGTTCAAGAAGAGAGTCACATGCAAGACAGGCGTACAACAACGATGGCTCTACCATCAAGATGCAGTAGCAAGATGCCTGAACACGTGGGTTCCAATGCTGACGATCCAATGTTTGAAATTGATGATGTGACGATGATTGAAGAAGATCAAGAATCGGCTGAAGAAGTGTCAAGACAAGGACAGATGGTGATACGACCAAGTCGACAGACAAGTATTAAAGCATCGCAAGAAACCGCGATGGTTCCACTAGAATCGGTTCAACATGGACAATCTCAAGCGTTAATACCAGTGAATGGTGCTGACGAGGACTTTTATGACGGCTCAGAAGTGTGTCAAGAAAAAGGCACAAAGAGACTACGTATTGGGTATGAGCAAGCATGTGCAGCGTTCGAGACCCCAACGACATACGAAGAAGCTCTTAAGTCACCTCGTCGTGATAATTGGTACAAGGCCATTCAAGCTGAGCTCAAGGCATTAGAGGAAAAGGACACCTGGACTGTTCAAACACAGCGTCCAAACCAGAAAGTGATTGGAACCAAGTGGGTGTTCGCACTCAAACGAAACGAGCTGGGTGAGATTATTCGATACAAGGCACGTCTTGTAGCACTTGGCTACAGGCAGACGTATGGAGTTGACTACATGGAGACATATTCACCTGTGGCAAACCTCAACTCAATACGGGTGTTTTTGGCGGTGTGCTGTCAAAAGGGGATGTTGATTCATCAATATGATGTCGACACTGCGTTTTCTGTATGGCGTTTTGGAAGAAGAGGTATACGTATACCCTCCTCTGGGTGTTCGTGCAGAACATAATCAAGTGCTTAAGCTGAATCGCAGTCTGTATGGGCTGAAACAAGCGGCCGCTACATGGTACAAGACAATTTCGTGTGTGTTTGTGGAGATGGGGTTCTCTTCATGCGTGGCAGACTCATGCATTTTCGTCAAAGAGACCAAGGGCTCGTGGATTTACGCTGCATTATATGTGGACGACCTTCTAATTGGGGCTGAATCTACTGGAGTGATGGAAGATGTGGCAGCTCAACTATCAAGTCGTTTCCAGTTGAAGATACTAGGGGGTGTTCGATACGTTCTTGGAATCGAAGTCAAGTACCTGCGCAACAATCGACGTCTGAAGATCAGTCAAGGATCGTGTATATCAAGAATGGTCGAGAAATTTAATCAAGTTGATGCGAAAGCAGTGTCAAATCCAAGTATTGAAGGGCAAGCGATGGTCAAGATGGACAAAGCTGACACAAGAATGAAGAATCGACCGTATCGATCGTTAGTGGGGTCGTTGTTGTATGTGGCAACAGGCACACGACCAGATATTGCGTATACAGTATGTCAGCTGAGTCGTCATTTGGAATTTCCACATGAAGAGCACTGGAATGCAGCGATTCGAGTGTTGCGATATCTGAAGACGACGCAGAGCAAAGGAATTTGTTATGAAGGAGTTTCAGGCAATCTTCAGCTGAGCGCGTACACCGATGCAGACTGGGCAAGTAACAAGTGGAATCGCAGATCGATTTCGGGAGTTTTTGTCATGATTAATGGCGCACCTGTGATTTTCAAGTCGAAGATGCAGCAGAGCGTGGCACTGAGCACGGCAGAAGCAGAGTATATGGCTCTTTCTTTATGTGTGCAGGAGGTTCTGTGGACAAGAAGTCTACTCAAGGAGATGCAAGTGCAGATTAACTATGCTGTCAAGATTCACGCAGACAACCAGAGTGCAATTGCTATCGCTAAGAACGACGGCTATCAAAGTCGAGCGAAACATATCGACATCAGATACCATTTTGTGCGCGAACAGGTGAAAGACAAGATTATCGACCTGCAGTATACTGAAACCAAGTCACAGCTGGCAGATTTTCTGACCAAACCGATTTCGACAAAGAAGTTCGAGTCGCTGCTGGACAAGGCCAGGATCAGAGACTTCTAGTCGAGGGGGAGTATTGGTAATGGTGTTGGTTACTGATACTAATGACCATATGTCATGGACGACACTGTGTGATAGTGTGTAACGATGGGATCGACTCATCGTTTTGTTACTAATATTATAGAGTCGATATCGATAGGCTTAGAGTAGTACAACGAGACGAACTAAGGACCTAGCTAGATGATAATTCACTTTCCATTTTACCTTCTTCTAAGCTCTCCCACCTCAACTCGCTCTTGGCAGTTGCCAAAAGTCAAAACATGTGATCGATGCGCGGAACCTTCTTGAACACCATCTCGTGTGGGCTTGAGCTCTTGTTCGACGCGTTCGGCAGAATGTTTCTGATGTCTGCCGCTGTCATTAGTGCCTCGCACCAGTAGGACTTGTCGAGGCCGCTTTCCTTGAGCATACAGCGCGTCATCTCCACCAGCGTGCGGTTCATCCGCTCCGCCATCCCGTTCTGCTCTGGGTTGTACGGAACCGTGAACTCTTGCTTGATGAACTTTGCCTTGCAAAAGCTGTTCATAGTTTCGTTCCGGTATTCGCCGCCGTTGTCACTTCGCAACACCTTTATCTTCGTTCCAGATGCTGTCTTGACATCTTGGTAAAACCGCTTGAACGCACTCGCAACGTCGCTCTTCTTTCGCAACGGATAGACCGTTACATACCTGCTCTTCATCATGATGAAGGTTACGGCGTAACTGAAACCAGACTTGGACGCTGGCGTGATAGGTCCGAGAACGTCGGAGCACACCACCACGTCGGAACGCGATTTCTCGCTGGTGTCAGAGTCTTCATCGCTTGACTTAAATGACTTGCGCACACGCTTTGACGTTGCGCATGCGTCACACGCAACGTTCGACTTCACCGTTGCGCCCTTGATCCTTCCGTCCTTGACCATGGCATTCAGCGTACCATACGACACGTGACCCAGTCTTCTATGCCATATCTCTGTATCGTCTTCGGCCATGTGGCACTCCGTACCATAGTCAGCATTGAGATACAGGAGGAACCCCTGCTTCCTTCCTGTTGCGACGGGTTTGCCGCCACGCTTCACCACGCACTCGTTGCGCGTAATCTCCACTGTCATGCCGCGCGCTGCCGCAGCCGTGAGCAACAACAGGTTCTTGGACAAATCTTGAACGTGGAGTGTGTTCTCAAGGCGAGTGTCGATCCACGAATGTCTGGACGCGCAGCTTCACTGTCCCATATCCGATGACATTTAGCTTCACGTCGTTCGTTGCGCTTGAAATACTTCGCGCATGATGCACTTCTTCGTAATCTTCGAACGCATCTCGATCCTTGCACATGTGTGCTGACGCGCCACTGTCCATGACCCAGCTGTTGCTCGCGAAACCTTCGCAAGCATTAAACGCGACATTCGACTGGTCATGCTGTTGCTCCCTTGGCCCTCGACCGGAGCGACAATCTCTGGCGTAGTGTCCGACCTTGCCACAGTTGTAGCAGGTCCCTGATGGTCCCTTCGCGCGCCGTACTTGTAGCTTCTTCGGGTACTGCTTACCCTTCCTCTTGCCCGCGTAGAGCGCCGTCGCATCTTCTACCCGTGCAGCCTCATTCTGGCGCACTTCTTCGGCGATCAACTTGCTCACGAGGTCACTGAAACTGAAACTTGCGACGGACATGCGGAATGCCCGTACCAAGCTCTCGAAGCTTGCAGGTAGACTCCGCAACAGTACTGCGCACACGTCCTCTTCGCTTGGACCGCAGTTCGCGCGCTTCATCTTCATCACGAGGTCCTCCAGCTCCATGACATGACCGCTCATGCTTGAAGCTGCATACTTGAACGACGCGAACTTTTCCTTCAGCCAAAGTCGATTCGCCATGTCATGACTGTGATGAAATCGCGCCAGACGTCCCCACGCTTCTCTTGCGGTGGCCGAGTCGATGACATGCATCAACTGCGAATCGCTCAGATTCAGCACGATCGCGGCGTGGGCTTGCTGTTCCTTGGCCTCACTTGTTGTCTCATCGCCCGCGATCGCGCCCCACAGCCCCTTCGACATCAGGTACATCTTCATCTTGTAACTCCACAACCCATAGTTCGAGCCGTCGAAAGGCTCGACCTTGAAACCGGAGTCGTTCTTTGGGCTCATAACCTGTTAGAATAAACTAGGTTGCGGAGCTGATGAGAAGAAGAAGATGGCTTACGGCCGGGGATGAAAACCGAAAAGTGAGTTGTATTCAAATTGTTCCTAGCTTCGAAAACGAATGGCTAGTAGTAGCCGGTGGCTCTCAGCCACCTATTTCGTGCCCTGTCTCCACCGCTTTCTGTTTTACCTATCCCTGGGTAATTACGTCTCGTAAATACCTTTCGTAAAAACTCTGCTGTGTCATATGCAGAATGAAAACGATTGCGTGGGTGGGGGACGTAACTGCGGGCGGGTCACAGTTCTGGTGAACCCCAAACACCAGGTCGTGAGTGTCAGTCACAATTAACTTGTTCACGGCGGGGATCGAACCCGCACTCACCCGCGTGGAATCCCCCTTCCCAAACGACTGAGCCAATCCGATGACTTGTCGTTTCGCTAACATCCCACAATATATAACTGCCAAAGAACAATACAACTAATGCAAATATGCAATATACACCCTGCACAAGTCGCCGCATCATCACTCGCTAACAGCAGCATCTAAGCACAGAACGAAAATTTGTGTAATGATCAAATTAACTTTTTAATATGATACAGGCAAAAACATGCACGCCGTTGCGCCAAACCTCCTAACATCGTCCACATATAATCGATGTCTGCTCAAAAACTATTAAGTTGGTGATATTCTCTAAGTAAACAGTAGTCTTCATTACAGACACAAGAAATGACTTATGAAAACCTTTGAGATTAATCATATGCTGTCGTCCACCAGCACCGATGCACGTGGCACCAATCTAGTGTAAGCTTATTATTAGTTTAAGTCTTGACGTGTTGATCCTTTACAGTACAAATTCAAACTTAGCTTAGCATGAACATACCCACGTGTTGGACAACGCAGTCAATTTTAACCGTTCATATCACCAGGTTTTATATGCCTTTATTGAGTCGATAACTTTCATTTAAGAGTTGATTTTTAAGCTGAAATTGTGACGATAGGCTTTGCACCCATCGACGTCTAGGATATCATTTTAGTTTTGCTTTATGCAAGAATCACTTGCAAGTTTACTATTCTTCACTTTTCCAAAAAAATTGGGTTTAAAGTCCTTTGGCAAACTCAGTGATGCTTCGCTTTTTTGCACGACCCATTTTTTTTGCAGTAATGAAACTGATATCTTTCTCGAATCCAATGCGTGTCACTAGAATCGTATACCCTATTGGTCGCTGTTTCTTTTTGTGAAGCCCTCCCATTGTACCGTGTCTACTTAACACTACATGTTAGTTGAGTATCATTATTATAACATACACATCCCCTAATATCGTCTTCTTCTCGTCTTGATACGATGTATCCTTATTGGTATATCCGCCTGTGTCACATTTTCATTTTGCAAAGTTTGCTATACCCTTTACACTAGCTGCCTCACCGAGTGCCGTATAACGATTCTCTGGCTTTGGCCTGCTCTCTATCTTTATCTGTGGTAAACCTTTAAAATTTCCATGCGGTCCAGCGCCATCACGGTTTCTTTTTCAGCGTTTGAGTTTCTTTGGCTTTGGCAAACAATCGATGATAAATTGATTCATCCGATGATCATCAGCGTTAGCACTAAGTGTCACAAGGCGCTTACGTAGGTTAAACAGGTACCCAATATGACCTATGATGTTGCAGCCGACTTATATCTTGAACATTTTAACTTGTCACACATGGTACTCATGTCAGTGAAACCGGTCCTGAAATTCGGATTGTCATCAACGTATCTTTTTAAGATGCGCTCGCATTCCGTTATATTCCAATATCGTAACCTCGTGGTGTAAAAATGGTCAAGCTAATTATTTCGCTTGAGCTTAATCTGCAGCCCATGATACCTTATGATTTCCACATCAATTTGGAGCGATAAGCAATCGCTTTTAACTTAAATCATCTTTCCGTCTTTTCATTATCGAAGGTAGCGATAATGACGCTTGCGGGCGCCCTAGTCTTACATGTTTCCACTTCTTAAGGATCATGTCGTTTTGCGTGTTTCAGTTCTTGGTCTGCCGCTGCCCCAGATCTCGCACGGTTATGCTCATAGCCCTCATAGGGATACATTAAAGAGATAGATCATCACTGAACATTCACTACACTTTTACTCTCAGTTTTTATCTTTGCCTATTAAATGCTGATTGACCTAGCAAGCATTTGGACTTGCTAAGTTTTTTTCTACTGTTTATATAATACCTACACTTACATATTGCTACTTCTTACATATTGCCTGTACATATGTATTAATAATAGATACGTTTACCTTACCCGCTTCACCAAAAGAGTTCCAATCGACGCTAACTGCACCCACCCATAGGCTACGAACCTTGCGCATCGGCGGGCTCTTCCTACCCACGCCTAGCCATTCAATTTACAACCTTAGTGCACCCACCCACGCTCAACAACATTCTTTTGCCCGATCGTTCGCCCGATTTCATATGCACGTAAGCCTCTAACACTGAATGAAAAAACTTATGACACAATTTTTGCTGAGAAAAGCAAGTGTACGACGCCGCTATCACCCACGGAAATTAAAACAATGGGCACGGGTGGTCGTGCGAATGGACGGCCAATTTCATTCTTTATTTACAAGATCGCGCTATCCTCAATCAGGTGCGACCAGGCTTAACGTTAACAAGCGATGCTGCAAGGCTTCAATGTGCAACGGTATTACAACGAAGAAAGCCAAGGTTTGTCGATGTAAGCAGAAAAAGAATGTAATGAAAATATGGATAAGTAAAAACTGTAATTCTTGCCAGCATATATTTCTGTCCCACTTGAAGATGCTGTGTCTGTCGCGAGAGACCAATACTACCCGTCTCTATTCCGTAGAAAAGTCGTAGTAAGATCGGTTCAAATAGCAACGACAGCTGTAAATTGATGTTATACAAGATTGTCATAATCTAGAAAGTCACTCAATGCCAGGCTTGTGCACGCGATTCCTGTGCCGTCTTTTATGTACTTGGCACAAAACAAATTAAGTATAATGAGTAAACACTAAATTCATCATAGCGCTGGTTATAACTATGTGAACTCCTCGTTGGGTTGCAGCAATTGCCGCACACTCTTAAGTGTGTAAATAGCTCCATCATCACTTCCTATGAAGCCTATATTGACTCGCTATACCTCTGTTATCAATCTAACACAATTTAAGATCTAAATTTCCCCAGACTGTTAATACTGGATTGGATAACTATACAACAGCAGTAACAAAACCATCACACATTAAAACTTTAAGAAAATAATTCAAATATGTTATCTTGACCAGTTCCATTCATTGCGTCTACAATCTACCTGATTAATATTCGTTACTTTGTAAAGCGCAGTTATCTAACTTAGTCATATGTAAACGACTACTTATCTACAGTATATCAGATCTTTTAATCAGCGAGCGCCAGAATTATCGATGCACGCCTGATGCGCGATCCGTGAAGATTTAATTTACTATTTATTCCATTTATACATATTGTTCCACCTAAAGATTTTGCTCAAATAAATTGGAATTAGAGTAAGCAACATAATAAAATCATCCTTTCTAACCCGAAAGCATCGCGAACCACTTAAAAAGCTGACAAGATTGAAAGCAATAATTTTGCAAAACGAACATCCGTTTTTAGTAGCTTATGATCTGACTGTGGCAACAATTATCCGCCAAATCAAACATGTAACGCAGTTTTATTGTTCTGATCCTTTAAACATTGCAATTAAGATCCGTAAACTGCCTTTAATTCATAGATAACAAAGTCGATGAGCTGGTGGTTCTGACTGTTTTGGTTAAGTTGTGTTAATATCACCTTTTCATTACGAAGAGGTTCAACTTCAGGCAGAAATGCTAATTTCAACCATAACCACGTCTTTAGACGCCAACGTGCTGTGTGCGGTAGTATTGATTCAATCCCAGTGTCATTGAGTCTAATTTCCGGAGTCGGTTTCAAATGCAGCACAATCTTCTTCCGTACTGTAAAGGATACGGTACAACATGATTCGTAATTGTGAATTCCTAGTATGTGTCTCTGTGTGTTCTCTCTACCCAAACTATCGTCTCTTTGTAATTTAGAATAATATTTACGTGGCAAATAGGATGCAGTGGTATGATCAGGGCTGTTCTCGATTGTAAACAACAACATCCATTTTGTAACGATCGTGTGAATGATATGGGCAAACTTGGTCGGTGTGTACGTGATACCCGGAGAAAACATGGTACTTGAATTGTTGACTCACTTTTTTTAATGCAATTTGCAAAGTCTTTGGTGAGGTATATAAGTAATAGACCAACACGCCATACGTCAAACGCTTACTAATTGTTGGAGAGACGCGAGATTATTCAGGCATGCTTATATCACTGGATTGTATGCACTGGCAGTGTGTTCATCCGCCTGGTTTGGGCAGAATCGAGACAAGTAGAGGACTCCAACACTTGTCCTTAAGACTTTAACGTCATCAAGAAATGTGTGAGCGTTGTACGAATGCTTCACCGAGATGGAAAATTGTGACTTAATGTGACTTGAACGTGGATTCTGTCTTCCGGAACACATACAACAGCTAGAATTTATATCAATACTGGTTCTTACATAATAAACTGAGCAAAAATATAATAGCTATTGGCTAAAAAACAAAGTGTTAGATGCGCGTTCAAATCAGACACGGTCTCTGCAGCGTGCGCGAACTTAAAGTAATTGTTCTTTAGCTGAATAATAAACTTTTGCTTGAACTTGTTTGAGTATTTGCTGTCTCTCTGTGTGTGTTTGTTAAAATTATCGACGAGTCTTAAACTTTCAACTAAATTCGATTTGGTCTATCAAATTGTCTGAATGTGTGCGTAACGCCAGATGTGCCTCACACGTCACACTAAGTGTGATCTAGTGTCCATGGGTGACGTTTGATGTACTTCACACGTCGAACTTAGTGAAGTTTTTTAGCACGTCGCTTCTTTGCATGTGTTATAAATAAACGCTGAAACTACCTACACGTAGCACTAAGTGCGATGTATCTTTCATATCCTCTTCGTTTATCAAATAGCATTACTACGAGTAAGAAAGGTAACAATAGTAGTGACAAAGCGCAAAGGACGTGATTAATATACAGAGCTGAATTCAATTAAATGGAATGAATTAATTATAATAAAGGGCGGTATCCAGAGCTTACCCTCTTATTCTAAAAACACTATATACTCCTTAAACTATTTACATACTTGATACTTACCACAATCTTAGTAGTTACCTACGTAAGATTTATGTAACGGACTCACCCGTTACAGTAAACGAATCTGCCATCAGTATCCTACACGACGGGTATATTTCCTTAATATAATAACCCCAGTATATAGAAATAGTTGATGATGGACGCATTATGCAGTCATTAAAATGTATGTTGTGCTTAATACTACTCAGTCAGCTGTAGAATCATATTCGGTAAGGTACGGTATTACTGATAGCTTATCTTACGGTCCAACACTCTGTACTTCCAAAAAGACATAACATCGATTCCGGCTTCTATGCATTGTTTCCAGTTATCCAGATGTCGTTCACCTCGCTTCACAGTCTTTACAATTGGCGCATAATCTACAATCGAAGGTGCGATTAAAGTTGGTGGTCTCGTTTAAAGCAGAAATAATCAGTGAGGGTTCCACCATTGTATAAAGCTGTCAAGTTAAAACGAGGACAAAACAAGCTCGATGCCTTGATCGGCAGCGGCACTTAAAAAAACAGTACCTACTAGAGAACATGTAGATTCTGTGAGTAGAAAATAATTTCTCTTGTTTCGGAAAAAATTACCTTCCTTCCTATTGTAAGTCTGACACAGTGAGGAACATCTTAAAATCAAGAGTTTTTAAATAGCACGATTCACCCGTTCTGTAATCGCAGAATTGACACGATCATCACTCAACTATTAATGGTGACGAAATAAGCCTGGAAATGGCATATTCAATGCATTAAGTTTTATTCCGTACAAAAAAATGAATGGACGGTGGGACAGATATAAAAAACAGTTGAACACTGGTTCGAGGACCACGAGCAGAAGTCGCTGAGAAACACGACCAGATTTTTTTTGGAAAAATATTAAAACATGCTATTAAACAGCGTACTATCGTCTGAATATGTGGTTCTAACAGATATGTCAGAGATCAACCTCTCACAGCACTGTTTATCACCATTAATTTAGCATAGTGGCTAAAATGACGGACAAAGGGGTCAGATGAACTTTACTGAATACCGACTATCGATCGCACCAGATCCGAACTCAAATATACAAACTTACCGCGTAACTAGCATATCAAGGAACAAGCCACGGTCTCAATCTAACTAGTCATCTACGAGAATGTCTTCTATCGAAATCACGAGTCGTCGATGGGATTCCTAGCCTTATGCTAGGTCAAATTTAATGGATCACGACGGCTACTACTCGACTACCGCTTTTGCCTTAATGAAGCCCATACGACCTACCTTGCATACCAGTATCGAATACTAAGCGTATCTTAATCTTCAGCTTGAATAAGGGATAGTACTAGAAAGTAGTGGCTCCTGTTGAAAAGTAGAAATCTGTACCCAGCAGGGTGCCAGCTGTACGCCTGTGAATTGTGCTACATAGAGCTAGATTAGTCCGTATAAGAAGTACAGATAGCTCACAGTCCGAGGGACCACGGTTAACGGACCAACATAGTTTTAAGACCGCATTTTACTTGACAAAAAAAACACATACAAATTTTAAGTGTACATTTCTATCGCACAGCAACTGGATAAAAGAACGTAGTGACGCCCACCACCCGTCCCATTCTACAAACGCAAGGAGAATTCGCAATCTCCGAACACCTCCGCAGACAAACACGACGTACGAATGGCGCCCCGAGCGCACCATTCCTTCGTCCAGAAGAGAGCTCTACAGATACACCAGCGAGAGAACCCTGGACTCACGCAAGCCATTCTCTGTCGATGGGCGCTAAGGGAGTTTGGAGTCCGTGTTGCATGGTCCACGATCAGCAGGATTCTGAGCGAGGACATTTCTGTCACCCTCAATCCGAGATCCAAACGGCAGCAGAAGGGCAAACATGCCGAGGTGGAGAAAGCGCTGTTCCATTACGTGCTCGACAATCAAAGTAAAGTAACGTTGACCGACTTCATCCTCCACCAGAAGGCCAATCAACTGCTCGAGGACGCAGGTGTTACGACAACGCTCTCACTGTCGTGGGTGTCGAGGTTCAAACCCTACACGGCATCAAGTCTTACTGACTGCATGGCAAGGCGGCCTCAGTCGAGCTAAAGACTCTTCAGCTAGAGACTCTTCACCAGCAACGCCAGGAACTCTGGACCCTTCTCGACGGCTACGCGGCGTGAGATGTTTTTAATATTGATAAAACCGGTCTATTTTATCGCATGATGCCTTCGCGGGCCCTGGCAACGATGCCTTTAAGTGGCAAGAAGAAAGATAAGTCGCACATTGCGATACGGCTATTTTTTAATATGGATGAGACTGAGAAACTGGACCTTATCGTGATCAACGAGCTCTTGGCCCTCGCTGCTTTGAAGCCATCGAAGTTTCCAAGCTACCCGTCCACTTCTATGCAAATGCAAAGGCATGGATGACTGGCGACATCTTTGCAAATCGGTTGAAAGCGTTCAATCTCAAAATGAGCGGGCGAAAAGTTCTTCTGCTGCTCGACAACGCAACCTCACATGTTAATTTGGAGCTATCAAACGTACACATTAACTTCCTTCCGCCAAATACCACCTCCAATTTGCAGCCGATGGACGCGGGCATCATTCGCAACTTCGAGCTCAAGTACAAGGGCTAATTCGTGCAGTGGCTACTGAAAATGGTGACGGCAGGGACGGGGGACAAGAAGCTCGACGTTCTTAGCGCAATCCGTATGGTGGAAAAATCGTGGGCTGAGGTGCGCCCTGAAACGACTTGACACTGTTGGATCTACACAGGAATCGTGTCGGGAGTTATGGCGGCAGTGCACCGTAGGCAAGACGAGCCGGTCCGTCCCATTGATCTCTCAATCCTGGCTAAGCTAATCGACAAACTATCCTTATCTGACGGAATAGGTGCAGACGACTATCTGGAGTGTGACAACAACCTGGAAGAAGAGAAATCACACTTCGATGCAACTGCCACCTCTGAGCCATTCTCGCGTGATGGCGACAGCGACGAAGACGAAAATACCATCTTCGCTCATCGCGACGCGTTGAATGCTGCAATACAAATTTCCACGTACCTATTCGCACACAAGGTCGATATTGCACACAAGATTGATATTGTATGGGTGCAACTGCTGACCGAGAAATGCCGCCGACAGCTTCAACAGAGCATGCACCAGCAGCAAATCACCATAAATTTCTCGATGGTAAGCTCGGTGGCCCATACTGAAACTAACAGCACTTGCTTCATAGCACGCAAAAACAGAAATAATATCTAATTTGTTAAATCACTTAGATTTCTACATTTTTCTTCATGTCTTACTTTCCTAGAAACTTTTTTCAATTATCTAATTCCTATAGAATATTCCTAAAGATTTATTCAATCATATTCCAACAGAAACGAAGTGGTGTCCTTTAAGTTAATCTCGATTTTAAGGACACAGCAAAATTTTATGGACAAATCGCGCTCTCTAACTGCGAGGTATCTGTAACTCTAAATGTTTGATGCGTAAATGTGGCAGCGGTAGAGGACTCTTAACTGACGGACCTCACTTTGAGATCGGTAAGCAACTGAGAAGGCCCGCGGCGGTGGGCCGAGCCGTGTCTGGCACGCGTCTGTAAGTAAGGTCTTTCATTAGGTGCTCATGATTTGTGTAAATATATGCAGCAGACTCATTCATTGCTTATAGTCTCTTCTTTGGGAAGTACAATCACAAAACCAGTCCATAATTATCATCTATCCATCCGGAACCTGACGAGTATAAGGTATCTATGAAAAATGCATTGAAGCCATAGACCTCATCGTGGTCCATCTTGAAACTGAGCTTCCTGTATTCAACGGCGTCAGAGACCACCTCTAACATCAGCGACTCATGTTCTAGCGGTTGACCCACGATGTTGTGACATCAAACTAAGAATAAGTGTCACATTGTACGACAAAAAAGCGTATGCATCTGTAGTGTAGCGGGGATGCTTAGCGCTCCTTAACAGAGGAAGTCTTAGACTTAAAGAGTCTCTTAGTTACAACAAACTAACAACGACGTACAGTCGTTCAAGCGTACAAGCTTAATAATCCCGGTTCTAATGGGATTACGATTAACAGAATCACACATTACCTAGTCACTACCAGTTAAACAAGGGTAAGCGCCTTGACAAGGCTAATGCTCTTAACAAAATACTACGCCTTGACCAGGTTTATGAGTCCAATGATTCAAAAGGGGAACTGAGCTTAATTTAATCTATAGCTACGGTAATAAAATTTTAAAACCTTGTCGGACTGAATTCTACATTGCGATTCTATGAAAAAGGTCTTAACTCTTATCCTTACCAAATAAGGTGCGGTATAACCGTAAGTACGTGGTACCAAGACTGTACCACTCAGATCCACCGATTTTTACTTGTTGTGGACACACAACATAACCGGTTCGACCACCGCCGTGTAACCCCGTTTCATGTGGCATAATCCGTGAGTTTTTGCGCGTCGTGCTGCATTATTTAATGAGAAATTAAATTTTGTGAAGACTTCATCGCTGTCCCTGTGTACACAAAAGCTCAAGCTGCCATCCCACAGGCGTGACGCATGCACAACAAACGTAGCTGCTACGACGATGTTGAAGGCCATCATGGCACTCGATTAAATTTCCTTCAATTTTGCAAGGAGAGGATGATCGCGAGCAAGGGTGGCCTCCATATTTGGGAGTCGTACACGAATCTTAGTGGGCCGTCGCTTGCCAGCGGTCTTTGCGACCGTCTATTTGTTAGCTCTCGCTTACAATGTGACGAGCAAAATCTACGACCAATCAAAAGACGTTGGTTTTGTTTCGCGTACAGTCCGGCTTTGCCCCTCCTCGCCTATCTTCCGACCTTTCGTTGAGGTAACGGGGTCAACAGACCCCCGAGTCAGATTTTGTCATTCGGCCCAAGCCGCACAGCAAGACATCGGCCACCATGGCGATTCCAACACGAGCTCCTCCGGTCCGAGCATACTCAGAAGATATCGACTCGTCACATCAGAGACGCCGGCGTCCCGGCAGCTCGCGTCTTGTTGCTACACTTTCGCCCTTCCACAAGTTGTCCACAGCTCAGTCGCGACGACGCGCCTTGAGTGACACGACGGGTGCATCTGACGAGCTACTTCATTTTCAAAGCAGCAAGTCCAAGTCGGTCAAGGCGTTCCACGGTGAAGCCAAAGGCATCCTGCATGGCATCTTTTCCGTGCTGTTGCTGCGTTTTCTGTTGGCGCTCGTGGCCGTCGTAGGAACGCTCGGAATAGTCGTTCTGTTGGTTATAATGTTCAAAGGGCCTCATGCACTGCTGATGAGCTAGCTGGTCTTCAACCTTGCGGGATGTCTTCGCTGTTTAAATGGCAGCCCTCTGTTCGAATGGTAACTTGATTGCGTTATTATCGAGGTGCATCATCCAGAAGGGTCATCTGTGCTATCAATTGCGTTCAAGTTGTCGAGGTTCTTGCGATGCAAGCACCATATATAGATAGAAGAACGTGTGACAGTATAATACATGTTGCTTGGGGTGCACTTTGTAGTTGGGATCACGCACAGGTGCAGCTTCATGTGCTTCATGTTGCCGCAGCTTAACGCTTTTACAAGAGTTGCTGCATTTGTAGTTCAAATGTCTCAATGAGAACTCCCGTTGCATTTGGTTCGATAAGCTTGCACGTTTGACAGTAACGAAAGTAGCTACAGCTTAGATGCCATCACGACTACTTTCGCCACGATAACCGTAATGTCGTCCGGTTTAAGATTGTGGCGCAGTGAGGCCATCACGACATTTTTGGCTGCCTCGTCGGGGCTCTCCGTAACAACTTCCACAAAGGACGCAAGCTCTACCGACCAGTACCGTCGCCAGGAGAGCGCCGGCTGGAACAGATGGACGAACCACAACAAAAGTTAACATCGCCACGTATAGCTTTGGTCTCAAGAATATAACTCTTCCTACCGGAAATTGTCTCGGCACCTTTTGGAGATCCGGCGCAAAGTTGTCCCATACGCCGTCAGTGGCAAGCACCACAAGATCTCCATCTTGTACATCAATCTCACCCGAGTCAGCCTAAACCGTCGTAAAAACTGTTGTCAGCCCCACACAATTCCCGATACCAACCAAGCCACAACTGCACGAGCGTACATCATCAGGGCGGTTTTCAATAGCACCATACTGCTTAAATCGAAGCGGGACTTTTGCCAGCTGATACGGTGCACGTCCATAACACTAAATCACGACAGACACAACAGCATTCACTCAGCGATCCCTCCACCAACTCAGCAAACAAAGCTGCCAATCCGCTGCCCACCTGGAACTGACTTCGGAAGATGATTTTGCCATGTCGAATGACAACAAAGCCTGAATCTCCAAGGTTCGAGTACTCCAGCACAGGCTTACCATCGCTCGAGTGTTTGAGTCTTACAATGCACGCAGTCGTGCTGCCTGCTTCCACTCCGTCGTCCAATAGTGCTTGATTGTAGCCATGGGACAGAATTTTCTGTGTGGAGGCGCTACTGTTCTCAGCTCTCTGCTGTCGCACAAACACGGCCGCATTGCGCATAAGTGAGCGCGAGATCTTGCCCGGATCCACTCCGTTCTCGTTCCAGCCACCGACACCATCAGCCACTCCCACGACGTCCGGTGTGATAAAAAAAGAGTCCTCTCCACACGTAGCTGGATTGGCTCCAATGCCGCTGGGTTCCTTCCCTAGAACGCAGTTCTTGCCCTTGCAGGCGGCCTTGGCGTCTAGAAAGAAAGAGGCGGCGCTGGCAGTGCGCTGGTTCCCACTCGAAGATGAAGACTTGGCTGTTGAAGAGCTAAAGTGGAAGGTGCGGGATGGAGATTGCGTCATCGCTGGCCGCCCGATCGAGCGCTGGACGGCGGCGGTTGACGCGCCTCGGCGGAGGTGGTGCAGCATGAGGCTCGTGATGACGTTGTGGGCATTGGATTGGTTTTGACCAATCCGATGCGATTCGTGCTGTGATTGGGCATTAAGTCACACGAGGGTCCGCACTGGTCACCAGGAGTCTCTCTATCTAGTCGGTTGTCGCCTGCAAGAAGAAGGAAAGTGACATGTCGTGGGCCAAGCACAAGAAGATCCTGGCTATGGCCAAGGGCTATCGAGGACGCGCCAATTCATGCTATCGTACGGCCATAAACCGTGTGGAGAAAGGTCTGCAGTATCAGTACCGTGACCGCAAGCAGAAAAAGCGCGTACGTTGCAGCTGTAGCAATGATTGAGAGTTGATTCTAGTTATCTCTGTGTGATGCTGTACTTATAATTGCGCGGTCTTCTTTTTGGACGCTACTGTTCAGGACATGCGCTCTCTGTGGATCCAGAAAATCAATGCAGGCGCGCGCCAGGAAGGACTTTCGTACTCGAAGCTGTACGGCAAGATGAACGGCTCGGGCATCGAGCTGAATCGCAAGGTGTTGGCGGACATGGCAGCCACGGAGCCCTTCAGCTTCAAGTCGGTACTGGAGGTTGTCAAGCATATGGAGGGTGTCACTAGAGCTCTGTAAATATACTGATATACCAGTATTGGTGCACACACGAGCGTAGTCGTTGTGCAGGTTGGCGATGCGAAGACAGTCTTGTGACAAAGAGATGAGCTCCTTGTTTTTGTGGTGATCGTTACTTTTTGCTGCTCGAGTTTGCTTAGTATGCCTTGTTGCTGACTCGAGGCCGCTGTGCTGATATACGTGCGACTTATGGACTTGCGTCCGGATAGCGGCTACATTCTTTGATCAAGCGGCCACCTTGGGTCGCTTTTGAACTCCAGAAGCTTCCAATACCGTCGATCATGGACCAAGCTAGCTTTTATCGCAAAACACTGAAACAGGCCTTGCTCGAGATTGCAACCATGCCAGGATCAAAAGGCAAGCGATCGGCCTCAAACGCTTTACGCACTGAATTCGAGTGTGACGCACAACTTGTGATTACCACTAATATTACGGGAGAGCTGCGGCAACTCGACCTCTTCGGTTGTACACCTTTGCACCCAAGTCGAATAGATACAATGCTTCGGTGGCTTCTGACATCCAACTTCTGGCTTCACGTCTAAGGCACCGGCAAAACACCGTCCAAAACGTGCACATCGCGCAACGGTAGTGTATACGCAGTTAGTCCATTCACTGGGCTCAAGTGAGATAAAGATCATGGCAACAAAATGGATCGAGAGAGCTTGGTATTCGCAGGATTTTTGCGGTACTTGATGTTGCCGACATCTCAGCGTCAACTAGACTCTTTGGGTTGCGGAATCACCTGGTGGTATGCAACACAATTGGAGTATCGAAGCCGTACTATCGTTTCGGTTTGGTCTCATCAAACGATTGAAAGTGGCCGCTACCACTTTGCTCGAAAACTTGTTAGCGCTCTCAGTGAAAGCAATTCGCTTGGTTCACAGCTGGACAGATACGAAATAAATTACATCAATATACCGACACCGTCAGGGGGCTGTAACTCAAATAAGTATTGATGTGTGCTGTCGACGTCGAACACGTAAGCATCTCTGTCCGACCCAATTTCCTGTCCTTGCTATCCCACAAGTCAAGGTTGAGGGCCTTTTCCAAGCGTGCAGCCTTGTTTATTCAGATGCCAAGCTACACCGTATCTACCTATGGCGCAATAGCTGGCAAATGCAGCACTTATGCGCCACCCTTGCCCCGAAAAGCGCGCACACCGCGGCCCATGCCGCTTGGGCCTCCTCGGCCTCCACCCATCATGCCGCGCATGCCTTGCCCGCCCATAGCGGCGCTCATAGGTGCGCCTCCACCACCGCCCTGTGGCTGCTCCGACTTGGGGTTGCGGACAGTCTCGTCCACCGACAGGATGAGACATGCGGCCTCTGTTGCCGCTGCGATGGAGTTAATCTTGTTAGCTGCAGGCTCCCAAACATGCGACTCGTACGTGTCACAAATACCACCAGTCGTGATATCGACGCCAAACCATCTGCCATTCTCGGGATCCTTGAAGTGCTTCTGACGCAGGCGGTTCAAAATGTCAGTCGCATCGTGGCCAGCGTTCTCTGCGATTTGGCGAGGGATGATTTCAAATGCCTTGGCATAAGCATTCACCAATAGCTGTGCCTTTCCTTCAATGGTACGCGCGTACTGGCGCAGGTGACAAGAGACTTCCATCTCAATAGCACCACCCCCAGCCACCACCGTAGACGAAGCCACCGCGCGTTTTACAACCATAAGCGCATCGTGCACGGACCGCTGTGCCTCCTCAATAAATTGCTCAGCACCACCACGAAGTACGATAGTCGAACTTTTTGCCTCTGCACACTCCATAAAGATGTTGTAACGCTCGTTGCCGACCTGACGCTCCTCAAAGCGACCGCATGAGCCGAGTACCGACGGATTCATGTCGTGCACCGAAGTCTGCACTACACCACCCGTGGCACGCTGCGTACGTGCCATATCGTCCTGCGCGACACGTCCTGCACAAAAAAGGCCGCGGTCGGCGAAGTACTGTGTCGCCAGGTCACCCACAGGCAGCTTGGACAGAATGATCTGAGCGCCGCTCTTCACGCATAGATCCAGTTTCTCATAGATGATGTTCCACTCGGCATCTACAATGGACTGGTACTTAGAGGGATCATCCAAACGTACTTCGGCATTCTCCTTCTCCGACTTGAGCTCCAGCTCAACATTTAGTAGTAGAATCTTTGGATTCACAAATGTTTTGGGCTGCTGCTCGAAGCCAGCGTACGAGAACGTCTTCTTGAACGCGACACCCTTGACCAAGAAAGAATCAGTGACTGATCCACCCGGCACCTTCTTGATGCCAACCATGCTAATGTCCAGTCCCTCGTCCAGACTCAACACTGCATCAACAATCTACGTAGCCACCCACAAAAATAAGCTTGTTTGAAACATAATCACAAGATAAAAGCTGTACACCCCTACCATCGGAGAAAAGAACTGCTTGTGTCGCGAGATGAGCTTCGAGTTGAGAGCCGTACCACTAACACGCTCCAGCATTTGACGACGACCCATTTCATCCGATTGAGCTATGCGAATCTCAATATCCTTTATCTTCTGTACAGCCAGTTGGCCTGCCTTGCGGAAGCTCTTGATGATTGTCTGCGGATGCATGTTCTCCTCAATGAAGGGCTTGGCCTGTCGCATGAACTCAGCGCCCATCAGAACAACAGACGTGGTGCCATCGCCCACCTCTGCATCCTGTGAGAGTGAGATATCCACTAGCGTCTTGGCGGCCGGATGCACCACATCCAACAGGTTCATGATCGTGGCGCCGTCATTGGAGATAGTGGTCTTGCCCCCAGCATAGATGAGTTTGTCCATTCCGCGTGGTCCGAGAGTCGTGCGCACAGCATCCATCACGGCTTGGCAGGCATTGATGTTGCTAATGAGCTGAGCCTTACCCTGGCTCGTGTCCGTGCCTTCCTTCAGCAAAATGATCTGTGGTTGCTGCTCAAGGAGAGAGGGAAGGGAGAAGTTAGGCAGAGACGCACCGAGTTAAGTACAAAGGCGAAGGTGACGTAGCAGCAGGGCTTGAGAAGACGTACCATCATGCCGTTCATAGCGATTGAGGGAGATCAAGGCGGACGGGGTTCTCAACCAAGGAAGATGTGGTCGCCACACAAGAGGCTTGCTCCAACAAATGGCTAGCGTCACTTAACGTACTTAAGAAGGCACACTTTGATCAAATTTAAAATTCAACTGGAATTGTTCGTGTTCATCAAGGAGTGGACAGTCTTGGTGCAACATAAGTTTAGAAAGACATGTTCCAAACGCTTGTGTGCAGGACAGCGTTGTACAACTCTCTCCCACTTGTTAAAAGATTATCACGCGTTCAGCTCGCATTATCGACACAGTCTGCATTCCTGGACGAATGTACCACCAGCTTAAAGCGCTCATTCTGAAGCGTTCAACATTTTTTTTGGAGTCCACTAAACTACAGATGCCCAGTAACAACCTGGTATTTGTCTGATCGTTTTTTAGCGACTTTAGGTTTTTGACGCAGTGAAGTCAAAAGATGCTGAATATCACTCGATGAAGAAGTTTGAGTCAGCCGGAAAGCAGCATGACAATCTAATCAACCGTTTATATACTAAAAACGGCATTTTTGATGTAAATAGAAGTGAGGTTTGTCATTAAAATTTGGCGGAATGTATCAAGAAATGGGAAAAATGAAATGAGATTAGCTGATCGGCAGAAACACTCGTTTGAATCAGCTTTTCATTCCTGCTCAAGAATGAGAATGCCGATTTGAATAAGCTGCATTTTACCCAGTCAAATATTTTGTGTAGCCCACATTTCGTTTCAGCCCATAAACAAATTAGAAAATGAAGTACGATGCAAGCTTTAACAACACATTCTTCAAAAACAGTGCACGTAATGCTTGGTTGGTAAAGGGGGACTGTAAAAACAAAAGTGTTCCCTAAAAACGTGCCATTTTTCCTTTCTAGGCATAATTCATACCGGCTAGAATGAGTCTCGATTGTTGTTTGCTAATCTAGGTTTTCGAACGGACACTGACTCATACCCTAAAAAACAAGGACGCATAAAAGAAGCATCCACGACTATCCATCATACTTCGCTTTCTATTGAGAAGACACATCTTCGACAAGTCGATGGAGGGCACAACATCGACAACGGCGGAAGAGGACACGGCAACGGCGCGGGAGCATACGGCAACGGAGCAAACAATGCACAATGCCTCGCCACAGGAAACTGCGAGGAGAAGGGACGGCTCATGGGCAAGTCGTATACCGTCTCATGTGATGATTGATGTACAGCGACATTTTAGAATAGGTGACATCGGGATGGGTCGAAGAGCGGAAGTCTTGACGTCAGCAATGGGTGAAAGCGCGGGAGTTTTAACGTCAGCGACATGTTTATGATCTGTAACGAAGGCACATGTCTATAATCTAAACCAAGACGGCTTGTTCATGATATGGAATGAAGACTGCGTGTTCGTGATCTGGAACGAAGACGGACGTGGCGTGTTCATGAATTGGAAAGACGGCAGCGGCATGTGGATTGTGTTCATCAACTAACAGTCTTCGCTGAAATTAACGGAATCGATAAAGACACGAGATAGGCATCGGCGCCGGTCGTGTCCGGTTTCACGACAGAGGCTGCATCTGGTGTCACTCATCTGCCGCACCATTCTTGCAAAGCCTGACCGTCGGCGCTTTTTTGCTCTCTTGTAACGGGGTGAATCGTTACATTACAATTTAAGAAAATGTTAATAGAATATAACTATAAGAGTTATATTCTCAGAATATTGTCATAAGGACAAATATTCTGTAGCACTTACGAGTAGTTCCTAATTGGTTGATATAGGCCATTGTATCAACCAACGAAGACGCGCCACGACAGACGCACGCAATGAGTGGTGAGCAGATAGTTGGTATGCACACTTGTATTCAGACATAGTTAGATGAAGATAAATAGTGATTTATTGCAGAAATTAACTATTATAAATACAGTTCTACTTTTTACTTTAACCAAGCACTCGCTTCTTCTTACCGTCTTCCTCTGCACGTACGAGTGTACGTGAAGTTCCGAGGCACCGCCTTATTCTGTCATCAGAATAAGTAGCTTGTACTGTCATCAGTACAAGCTTCAGGGTGCCCCGTTACACCTGGTAGCACTTCGTAGTCCGTCCAAGGACCGCGTTCACATCTAACATGAATATGTTGGATGATGAAGATGACCAAAGTTTTCACGCTACGCGTGACGGCTACTCCCATTTGAGCGATGTCGAATGGGATGCAGTTGAACGGATGGGTTCAACCATGGGCATCCATGCTGTTAGCGTCATGCTAGAGGCTCACAATAGAGATGCCCAACATGCTACTATCGCCAAGTTCATTCAAAATGAACTTGACGCAGAACGCGAGAAAGTAGCCTTGCTTCACCAACAAGGTTCTCAACAATCAGAGTTGTTGAGAGAACAGGGTGCTCAACAGTTTGAGCTGTTGAGACAGCAGCAGGCTGCTGCTGGTGGGTCGATGCACTCGCGTCGACCCAAAACCTTGAAGATTGACATCTCCAAGCATAATGGAGTCGAAGAAGACTCCCTCTTGAGATGGTTCGTCGAATTGGATGACGCCATAAGGGCGCGTCGCATCGACGACGGGGATATGCAAGTTGCATTTGCCCAGTCAAATCTGGCAGGACGTGCCAAGACTTGGGCACTGGGGCTCAAGTTGCACGACCCATATGCGTTTGGGTCGTTGGAAGTCTTCAAATCGCGGCTCAGACAAACGTTTGAACCGCCTAGAGCTGAGTTCAGAGCTCGAACCGAACTCTTGAAGCTCAGACGAGGTAAGCGTGATGTGTACGCTTACGCGCAACATATACGACATCTCACGAGTTGTATAAGTTCCAATTCGGTGGATGAACACACGTTGGTTTCGGTGCTCATTCAGGGTCTTGCGGATGGTCCCGTCAAGACTCACCTGTTCCGGCTTGAACTAGATTCACTAGAGCAAGCCATATCCATTGCGGAACAGGAAGACTTCAGTCTGAGACAGGCTCGCGCCAGCTCGACATCATATCGTCAACCGAGGCGATATGACAGCGGAGGTCCAGAGCCGATGGAAATCTGTTATGTAGAGAGCGAGAAGGCTCGCTCTACAGACTACAAGAAGTTGCAGAGATGCAACAGATGTCAAAAGACAGGACACTACGCTTACGATTGTAGTGCCCCTCTTCCAGTGTCTCGCAACACTGGGCGTAGTGACCGTCCACCCATGATATAGGGGCAGGGACGCGGGTCCGCTGTTGGTGCAAAGACGCAACAACGGGATAGACCGTCAAAAAACGGACAGGATCAGTAGGTGTGGAGCACCCTACTGGTCCAGCAACGTCAAGAGCATTTGCAGGCCTCTTGATGAAGGTTGCTCCCAACACACAAACGTTGCGCGTTGCTGCTCTAGGTAATGAGATCTAACTCATTACCTTGAAACTCGAAGTGACGGATAAGTTGTCCCTTCGAGCTCTAGTCGATTGTGGGGCGTCCAACAATTTTGTGCAACGCCAATCGCTAGAAGATGGTCACTTTAAGTTGAGTGAATGTGACATAACTCCTACGAGGATGACGGTACGTCTTGCGACAGGCGCATCCGTAACCTTCATGAAGCGTATAGTGAAGATCCACTATACGCTAGAAGATACTCAATATGATGATGACTTTATCGTATTGGATTTGGATGACAAATTTGATGTCATCCTTGGAATACCGTGGCTCAGAAGGTACGAACCACGGGTAAACTGGCAACATCGAACAGTAACGATGCCTGCCGCTTGTTCATCAGATGGCCATCTGATGAACGTTTTGGAGCGTCCACAAGGGTGTGGATGTACTACGAGTGAGTGCGATGGCCTCACTTGTGGTACGGTCGTTAGTACGACTGCACAAAACCTTAGTGTAACAAACGGTTACACTTCGGAGCAAAGTCCCGGCGGCTGTGAGGAAACACAGGCTGCGCCGAAGGTCCACCACTCGAATAAGTCGAGTGGACCGGGACAAAGATGTATCCCTAGCGGGGAACATCTAGAAGAGAAACAATCGATCGCTCAGGTTAAGCGAAACGATAATCCTAGATCGACTGGAGATTCTTTCGTAGAGGATCTCGCTGTGGTTGCGCAACCCCAGCTAGAGGAAGTTAAGGGAATAAGTCCCAAGATTACAAATACGGCGGAAATAAGTTTCCCGAAACCCGAGAGAATAAGTCCCTGGGAAGCCGAAGGAATAAGTCCTTCGAGGCCTGAGGGAATAAGTCCCCAGGAAATGACAGAGACGTTGAATGTCATAGTCAATAACGGATCATGTGTAGGCGCTTATACACTTGATCTGATTGCGCCTCCGAAGTTGACTTCGGAGATCACTCAGTTGCCAACGCTCGAACATAAAAGGTTCTTGCGTGATCTGCGTAGTGGCAAAGTCAAGCAGATCTGCATACTCGTCGCTGACGACGAGTGTGTAACCGATAAAAGGTCAGCAACAGTGTTTACTGAGAACGAGAGAGTTCTCAGTAGTTCATCTATGGAAGAGAGTGTCCTAGATGAAAAGACACGAATTGAGCGATATGACTCCCAATCGTGGGAATCGCTCAAGACAAATCCTCTTAATAAGACTTGGTTGAATTCAAGGATGTATTCCCTGAAACTGTTCCGTGCGAATTACCGAAGGATAAAGGTATTCGACACGAGGTCGAGCTTAAACCAGGCTCGAAGTACTGTGTCATGAAGCAGTGGCCACTGCCTCGTGAACAAGTACTTGCGATCGACAAGTTCTTTGCCGATCGTTTAGCTGCGGGCCATGTGAGGGAATCAACTTCCCCACATAGCTCTCCGACCTTCTATGTGCGAAAAGCAACAGGAGGGTGGCGGATAGCGCATGCATTTAACAAGTTGAATGCTGCAACGGTACCTGCTCAGACGCCGATACCGAGGAAGGACGTAATCATTGATGGTATGTCAAAGAGTACAATCTTTTCGTCCACGGATTTGATGGATGGCTTCTATCAAATCCTTATGCGAGAACGGGATATACCCTATACCGCAGTTAGCACGCCTAGCGGCATGCTCTGGGAATGGCTAGTAATGCCACAAGGGCTTAGTAATGCCCCTGCCACGTTCAACAGATGTGCATCACATCTGTTGAGACCAGTACGAGAATTCGCGCCGAGTTATTTCGATGACGTATTCATCCATAGTCGAGCTATGGATGGAAAGTCGGACGTTGAGGTTCACAGGTACCACGTCCGACAGGTTCTTACAATCATGCGAAAGCATCAATTGTATGCAAACCTCAAGAAGTGTATATTTGCAGCAAGCAAATACCACTTTTTGGGTGCATCGTTGGTAAGAACGGTGTACGTCCTGATCCCGAAAAGATCAAGGCGATCACCGACTGGCCTGTGCCGGTTGATGTCAAAGGTCTTCGAAAATTCCTTGGGCTAGCGGCGTATTTGCATAAGTATTCACGCAATTACGCCAAGATGACTGTACACCTCTTTCGTTTGTTGAAAAAGAACGAGAGGTGGTTATGGAACGCTGAATGTCAGCGCTCCTTTGATGGTATCCAGAGCTTGATACAATCCCCAGTCCTAGCAATTGCCGATCAGGACAGGCCATTTTCATGTGGTCTGTGATGCCAGCGATTTCGCAATCGGCTGCGCATTAATGCAGTACGATCTTGAAGGCGTTGAACGCGTCGTCTGCTATCAGTCGCGTCAGTTGCAACCAGCTGAGCGGAACTATCCAGTGCATGACAAGGAACTCCTTGCCATGAAGTATGCACTCGCGAAGTTCAGAGTCTATCTATTAGGAGATAGACCCTTCATTGTTTACACTGACCATGCGTCATTACGCACGGCAGTGAACAGCCCGCACCTTTCACAACGAATGGCGCGATGGTTGTCATTCTTTGCAGAATACAACTTTACGGTCGAGTACAAACCAGGACGACTTAATGTCGTCGCTGATGCACTCTCACGTCGTCCCGACTTTGAAACAGTCGCGAAACCCAACAGTGAGACAGTCACTGTTGCGGTTATGACGTCCTCTGTCCCATCTACAACGTTGTATGATGATGTGAGGCGGGCATACGCCCAAGATGGTGAGATTGTGAAGTTGTTGACACATCTCTCCCAACCATCTCGAGAATCGTTGAAACGATTGTCGCCTGCGTATCGATCTGCATCAGATCGATACACTACTCGTAACGGTTTACTGTATTATACAGCCGTTTCTGGTGACACACCACGTGTTGTCATTCCAGATGATACTGATCTGCATTTGCGGATCATGTTCGAGTATCACGATGCTCCTATAGGAGGACATCGTGGCCGGGAGAAAACATATCTCACGGTGAGTCGAGACTTTTACTGGCCCCGCCAGTATCAGTTTGTGCGAAAGTATGTTCGCGCATGCGAAGTCTGCCAACGAGTGAAGTCAAGTCCTTCACTGCGTGCACCTTTAAAGCCTCTACCGGTTCCGGCTGAGTGCTGGGAATCCATCTCAATGGATTTCGTCTTCGGGTTACCTAAAGACGCACGCGGGAATACGGGTATTCTCGTATTTGTTGACAGATTCAGCAAAATGGTACACCTTGTGGCTGTACCAGAGACAATCACGGCAAGTGGCTGTGCTTGTGTCTTTATTGACACCATCTTCCGACTTCATGGGTTGCCCCGTGAAGTCGTATCAGACAGAGATCCACGATTCACTGCTGATTTCTGGCGTTCCGTGTTCAAATCACTCGGAACGCGCTTGAAGATGTCTACATCTGATCATCCAGAGTCAGATGGTCAGACGGAACGTGCCAACCGTGTCCTTGAAGAGATACTTCGAGGATACGTACACCCCTTTAAGAGTTGGAGTGAGTTTTTGCCAATGGTAGAGTTTGCCATTAACGACTCGGTGCATGCGTCCACGACACATACACCGTTTTACGTGAATGGCTTGCGCCATCCGCGTGTACCCACCTTACTAGAGTGTAACTCTGGTTTTAGGTGGGGGGAGGGACTCGCGCGAGCAAAAACGATTTGTTTCACGCTCATCACGCTCTGACGAAGAGGTCATTGCGTTTGATACCGATATCGATAACATCGATATCGAAGAAGATGATGCCAGTGAGAGTGCGGAAGCCCTCACTGAAGAAAAGGTTGATGTTGCTGCAGTGCGCTCACAGCGCACTGAAGCTAACGAGTCATCAGATGATTTCATACTGGCTCGTGAAACGGTAGTCCGTTTTGTGCAAGACTCCATCGCCGAAGCGGTGGATAAGCAAAAGCAAAATGCTGACAAGAATGGAAGGGCAAACACTCTTTTATTTAATAACGGTGACTTAGTCCTACTGTCTACGGTTAATCTACCAAAGCATGTAGTGACTAACGTGGGTAGCAGTAAACTTCTACCCCAGTACATCGGCCCATTTCGTGTATTGCATCGCCATGGCAACGCATACACGATCGAGTTACCACGTAAGATGCGAACGCATCCCACGTTTTACGTTGGTCGGCTTAAGCCGTACCATCAGTACGCTGCTTCTTCCGATGAAGAACGCCCTTGCGTTCAAGCATCTCACAGAGAGCCTTGTGCTCCCGATGGTGAGCATCGACAAGGGTCTGAAGAGCAGTTATCTCATCCCGAGACCGATCAACAATCCCACGAGCTACCCTTAGCTCGTCACGAAGAGATGTCAGAAATCTCTCGTTCTCAAGCTGAGCAAAGGCAAACTCAGCTCGATGCTTCGAGGCAGTGTCCGCCATTTGGAGACGCCTATTCCGCTCATGTTCGAGATCGTCGCGTAACCCTTGCGTTACGCGATCAAAGAAGCTCTCGGGAACACACCGATCCACATGATCGTGTGGAGAGTGTCTTTCCTCCTCCTCCACCTCCATTAGAGGACTCTCGCGGTGGCCAGCGCTATCTTGTTGAGCAGCTGTTGAACCACCGCGACGTGAACGGACGTCGGACGAGTTATCTCGTCCGGTGGCGCGGCTATCCCCCGTCCTGGGATTCTTGGGAGCCCCGCTCCCAACTGATGATCGACGTACTGGGTCTGGTTGAGCAGTACGACGCAGCACATCCTGTGCCGCAGAAGGACCGCCGGAGAAAGTCTTCCCGGCACGGTCGTAAAGGGATTTCAGGTTGTCAATCCCTTCGTACATCTCACTAGAGATACGTACGCGCCACCACGGGCTAATCGGGAGGTAAGCCTCCTTATGTGCTCGTGCAGAGTTGTTCACACAACACGGGCACGAGTCTCCCCAAGAGAGGCAGGGTAATCCCTTCTCCCTTGACAGACGATGCAGCTTGTATCGTGCACCTGTCGGGGTTCGCTTTTCAAACTTATCACGAGCTTTGATAAGTTTGTCGTTCCAAGCGTCACGACCTACATCCTCAAGGTTATGGATGTAGGCGTTCCACGCTTGAAGTAGTGAGGGACCATCACGCTTGTGATTCCCACTATATTATCGATGTTTAATGAAAGCATCGATGAAGAATTCATTCTCAGCGCGATAGTTTTTCGCGCTGAGGTCAAGGTGATGGATCTCTGACGAATCGAACAACCGTGTTCGATAACGATCACTCGTCGTCGCCGACAAGTGATCCATGACAGATTTAGGAGGCATCCATGCCTTCTTCTCAGGAGCGAGACGCAAGACATTGCGGTCCTGCTCTTCCTGCGATGTGCCGACAGAAGGACTGGCACCTCGCTGTGAAGTGGTGTCCATAGGAGAACCGACACCACTATTAGCGCCCGAGTCTCGCGACCTCGAGCGCCTTCGCTCCGGCGATGGTTCATCTGATTCATCAGATGAACCAAAGATGCTACGACGCATAGCATCATCCATGCCACGCTTGGCAGGCGGCTTGGATTCGATCGCCGTCGATACGGATCCGTCTTCCGTATCAGGAGAGTATGAGACACCGAGCTCATACTCTGTGAAGACATGAGTGTCTTCACGACCAGCGCCTGCATCACCAAGTGACACAGGCTGATTCGCTTCAGCAACCGATGAGACATCAGTTGCTGTGGTTTCTGCTTCGGCGCCCACACAGAGACGTGCGGACGCGCTCTCGGCGGCCTTGCTCGCGCATCGCGTGGGCTTGGTTACCGTGCGATGAGATGTTGGAAAGTGGACTCGGACCAACAAGTGCAAACCCCGTCCCAAATGATTTGGGACGAGTATCCATTTAGTCAATCAGTCACTAAAGTGACTGATAGTTAAGGGGGGTGATGTAACGGGGTGAATCGTTACATAACAAATTAAGAAAATGTTAATAGAATATAACTATAAGAGTTATATTCTCAGAATATTGTCATAAGGACAAACATTCTGCAGCACTTACGAGTAGTTCCTAATTGGTTGATATAGGCCATTGTATCAACCAACGAAGACGCGCTACGACATACGCACGCAGAGAGGGGGGGGGGCAGATAGTTGGTATGCACATTTGTATTCAGACATAGTTAGATGAAGATAAATAGTGATTTATTGCAGACATTAACTATTATAAATACAGCTCTACTTTTTACTTTAACCAAGTACTCGCTTCTTCTTACCGTCTTCCTCTGCACGTACGAGTGTACGTGAAGTTCCGAGGCACCGCCTTATTCTGTCATCAGAATAAGTAGCTTGTACTGTCACCAGAACAAGCTTCAGGGTGCCCGTTACATCTCTGGTACAACCTTTTTCGAGCTTGCAATATAGGACATGAAAGGGTGGCAATATGCCAAAAACTTTGGGGTTGGGGCTGTTTGTGTCATTATCAAGGTATGGTACACATTGATTTATAAGTGCGCTAGTTTAAATCTTTTTTTGTCAATGTAATCGCAGATGACGTGGACGACGGGTATGCTGTAACGGGGCAGCCCGTTACATGATATTGATACCAAACGGTGTCAATAGGGAAATTGTCTAGCGTGACAATTCCCTTTCAATTATATCCGGGATAGATACTGTTGAAGGAATATTATCTTCTTTTAATATAATATTTATTCGCTGCTCCAAGACTGGTTGATATTAGACTTATCAACCAAGATTACCACCAATCGCTGCTAGACGCGCGTAATGAGCAGTGAGCAGGCTGTCGTCATACGACAATGTAGGTTGATATAGTTATATAAAGATTAAAGTTAAATTGATAGTTTAACTATATTAAATACCGTTCTCTTTTTGCCCGTTACTCAAGCTAGCAGTTTAAGTAGATTAGCTTCCTCTGCACGTACGAGTGTACGTGAAGTTTCGCGGCACCCAAACAAAGGGTGCCCCGTTACATTCGCGGCTTGCTTGAGAATGTAAATGGTCTCATCCAGCGTGACACCATCTTCTCAGAGCTTGCTATGCCATTAGGTATTTCATGAAAACTTTCTCCTTGAAATGTCTGTTCAGAAATGCCGTGTCTGCATCCAGCTGTTCGGTAATTCGTCCCTGTGCCACCACTACAGCCAGCACGACCCTAAATCAAGTTTATCTTCACTACGGGCAAGCACGTTATATTAGTAAAATCGAATTTCTGGTTGACTCTTTTGTGACAAGTGAGGTGTTGCATTGCACCATATGTACGCGCTCGTCCCCGTTAGAAGCAAATACCTATCTGCATCGGACTTCCTTCATCTTTGGTATTGTCTTCCATATATCGTTTTTCTAGTGAGCCTTAATCTTAGCGCTCGTTGTCTCAGTTGTCCATGGACTACTGATATGTCGTCGGTGCATCATCTCTATCATGAACACATGCCGCGTAGGAAAGTACAGATTGTGCAAGCAGACTATCTTCATTAACACGCTTTCGCTTTAATGATGGCGGATAGAAATGATCTTCATTGAAACATTTGTCAGTGCTATCCGGCTTGTGCTTGTCTGCCTGGTCGATCAACTTATTGAAGGTAAAATGGTACTCTTGGAGGCCGAGATAATTCCATTTTGTGTGCGCCTAAACATCATGTCGTCGTTTTCTGTTGGTTTATGCATTCGATATTACATCATCAATTCTTTACCTGATGCTACAGGCTCATGTTCATCTTCTTGCATCTCGACGATCTATAACGTACACTTTATTGACTCCATCGGTTCATCCTTAAAGGCGAATACTTTTCAGGTTAAGTCTAAGTTACTTTGCCGATATCCTTGATCACGTTGATGATTTCAGCTTTTCCCTTCAGTAATGTGTTGTAAATTTTTTCACTTCGCGTTCGTCTAGCTTCACAGATCTTAGCATCTAGACCTTGTTCAGCTCCAGATCGTACACGCCATAGCCCTTCGTATTGTCCCCATAGCCAAGAAGCAGAAACTATACGCTCGTTGGCCTCAGATGGGTGAGCTTAGCATCTTTAACCCAAGCATTACTTATCAAAACAAATACTCGCAAGTTTCACAAAAAGAGGATTCATCTTAAGTCCAATCTCATATGGAGTCGCGTCAGTGTGCGTGCTATTCGTTGTCCAATTAGCCAAAGTACACTGCCGTAATGATTGCCTCTGCCCACCAGGGTATAGATACGCCCTTGTAATGCGCCATGCTTCGCTCTTTATCCAGTAGAGTTTGATTTATCCGCTCCACTTATTTGCTTGCTGAAAGATGTACAGCACAGTCATTTAGTGCAGAATCAATTTACGGTTACAGATTCCGTCCAGGTCCTAGTTCACTAATCCTGCCAAGTGGGGAGCGCGCATAGACATTTGAAGCGCGCTCCCCACTGTCTCACGTACATAGTATTGAACGATTTAACCATTCTCAGCACTTCTCGCTCCTTCTTGAAAAGTATGCCGCAACATACTTTAAGTAGTCGTCAACGAAGGTGATCACACGTTCGCGTCACCTTTTGTCTCCGTCTTCATTGTTATCGCTAAGTCTGTGTGCACGAGAATCTGAATACAGGACATCTTCGTCTGTAAACGAGATGGAAATTGCGCTAAATTTTGCTTGCCTTTCAAGCATCCACTGCGCAGCGCTTTCGTCTTTAGAATGGTAAATGATTTTCAGTCGTCACGTGCATCTTTGCCAGCGCGTATTTGTTCAATTAGCCCATGCGAGCGTGCAAAATCTCCCACTCGCTGTCGAAGTTTGAATACGCCACGTATTGCTCGGTTTGCTATTGACATTACAGCATGTATAACTTGCCAACCTTTCTCTACAAGGCAATTGATGGGTTCTTGTTTCAAATGGCACGTGGTATGCATTAAAATTTGACGATGAGCTTGCGTACTATAAGCTTGCCGACGGTTAGTAGTTGCCGAACAAGGCCAAGGATGTGAAGGACGTCCAGCATCCGAATGCGCATTGCCTTTTTTGCTTGTTGAGCGTATCAACCCATTTTCAGAGAGAAGGATCTTCTTGCCGTCTGCATTTATCACCTTAGTGCTTGTTAACTTCTACTTTTAGTTGAACAAGTCTTCTCATGTGTGCCGTCGTATTACTGTCAACAAGCCTCCCGATGATCGACTCTCCCCGGCGGCGAAGAACGCACCCTCGTTATGCTTGCCAGATCCTAGCATGTCCGGGCTGTTCCGCTTCATGTGACCAGACTTGTCACAGTTGACGCACTTGACCTCGAACCCACTTCTCTTTCTTTAGACGCTGTGCTTGCGTCCGTTGTTTCTGCCACCCTTGTCGATTTTTGCAATTTTCGACATGCCCCCAGACGTAGTAGCCTTCAGCGCGCGCTTCGTGACTTTATTCTTGCCCTGTCAAACATACACCTTAAGAAGATTTTCTTTTACCTCATTAAGCGTGACATAATTAGCATTTACACGATCGACGCGATAAGCTTGTACTCTGCAGGCAGACTGCTAAGCGGAAAAACGATCTGTCGCGCCTCGCCAACCGGCCCAAAAGGGACTGAGGACCGACGATGAGTTCATGGAACTATTACAGGTGATTGGTAATCGTTATGACGCCGTCCATTTTATGTTCATGATAGATGAGGGTCATCAAAACTAGATTAAGCATGCTTGTGCGATTTTAGAGCTCACACAGAATAATATATGCCTGGGTAGCCGTCTTTGCCGACCAAATCTTGTAATGATGATCTAGTGCAATGCCTAGACTTCAGTCCCAGTGTAACGGGGCACCCTGAAGCTTGTACTGGTGACAGTACAAGCTACTTATTCTGACGACAGAATAAGGCGGTGCCTCGGAACTTCACGTACACTCGTACGTGCAGAGGAAGACGGTAAGAAGAAGCGAGTACTTGGTTAAAGTAAAAAGTAGAACTTTATTTATAATAGTTAATTTCTGCAATAAATCACTATTTATCTTCATCTAACTATGTCTGAATACAAATGTGCATACCAACTATCTGCCCCCCCCTCTCTGCGTGCGTCTGTCGTGGCGCGTCTTCGTTGGTTGATACAATGGCCTATATCAACCAATTAGGAACTACTCGTAAGTGCTGCAGAATGTTTGTCCTTATGACAATATTCTGAGAATATAACTCTTATAGTTATATTCTATTAACATTGTCTTAATTTGTTATGTAACGATTCACCCCGTTACATCACCCCCCCTTAACTATCAGTCACTTTAGTGACTGATTGACTAAATGGATACTCGTCCCAAATCATTTGGGACAGGGTTTGCACTTGTTGGTCCGAGTCCACTTTCCAACATCTCATCGCATGGTTAACAAGCCCACGCGATGCGCGAGCAAGGCCGCCGAGAGCGCGTCCGCACGTCTCTGTGCGGACGCCGAAGCAGAAAACACAGCAACTGATGTCTCATCGGTTGCTGAAGCGACCCAGCCTGTGTCACTTGGTGATGCAGGCGCTGGTCATGAAGACACTCATGTCTTCACAGAGTACGAGCTCGGTGTCCCATACTCTCCTGATACGGAAGACGGTTCCGTATCGACGGCGATTGAATCCAAGCCGCCTGTCAAGCGTGGCATGGATGATGCTATGCGTCGTAGCATCTTTGGTTCATCTGATGAATCAGATGAACCATCGCCGGAGCGAAGGCGCTCGAGGTCGCGAGACTCGGGCGCTAATAGTGGTGTCGGTTCTCCTATGGACACCACTTCACAGCGAGGTGCCAGTCCTTCTGTCGGCACATCGCAGGAAGAGCAGGACCGCAATGTCTTGCGTCTCGCTCCTGAGAAGA